TATGTAGGTGGAGATAACAGCTAGCATGTCTAGTCGACTAACATCTATAAACGCTTGGATGTTGCTGTCATCAAACCCAGGTAGACTGTAAATCTCTCTCACATCAAATGGTTTCATAGTTCCAGAAAGAAGATTCTGCCGAACCGTCAACATGCTCTTTCCTGTAACTGAAACAAATAGGGGACTTCGCCTGTGTTACGAACACGGCCGGGATCCCGGCCGTGTTCACCGTGTTTCACGAACACGGCCATGGGTCGTGTTCCCACGGCCGTGTTCGTGAACAGTGGTCCGTGTTACTAACACGGACCACTGTTCAGAATATTCTCGTGCGGAATATTCTGGTTTTAGGGCGCACGGCATCACACGACAATCCAGCCAGGGCGCACCATTTCAGGGCACAGCAGCAGCAATCCAAGGCAAACAAGCATGGCGCAGCAATCTAGCATACTGCGAAAGCATCCTTCTTCGCGATGGTGGGATGAGGTAAGTGTTCTTGAGAGCAGGGGGCATGGCCACAAATTATGGTCATGCAAATACTGCCCAATGGTGAACAAACTGAGTGGTGTTGATCGTGTGCAAGCTCATCTGTTAGGAGAAGGCCCAGGCAGCAAGGATATTGTGAGTTGTCCTCTCATCCCAGGTAACAAGAAAGCGGATCTGCTCAATATGCAAAAGGTTATTGATTCCGAGAAAGGGGCAAGGGGGAAGAAACGGCCGAATGAATCTGGTGGTGCTTCTATGAGAATGGATGGCAATGTCCAAGGATTTCCACCGGTGGTATCATCCTAGTCAAGTGGAAGTGGCTGCAGTTCCCTGTTTTATAGCAAACAGAGTCAAGTCCATATTGTTGATTCGATGGATCCTGAGCGGAAGAACCGAGTTGATGTGGCTATCGGAAGATTTTTCTGGAATGAACACATTCCATTTGTCAAGGCTCGGTCACCTTACTTCCTCAACATGATACAGGAAGCTGCCAGGCATGGTGTGCCTTATGCACCACCAAAATATGATGATCTCCGGGATAAGCTTTTGGTGAAAGAGAAACGATTCATTGACATTGAGATGGCGTCCTTGAGGAAGCAGTGGGAGCAGAGGGGTGCAACCATATGCGCAGACGGGTGGGCAGATAGGAGGAATCGGCATATCATGGGGCTTGTGGCATATAGTCAAGGACGAGGAGCTTTTTTGAAGGCTATCGACATTTCCTTAACAGGAAAAACAGCTGAAAATACTCTGCGCTGCTGGGAAGAAGGCATTAACATTGTAGGTGCAGAGAACGTTGTCATGGTTGTGACCGATGGGGAAAATGCAAACAGAGCAGCAGCAGCACTTTTGCAACAGAGGTACCCGAAAATTCAATGGGCAGCATGTTTTGCCCATTGCTTGAATAATGCCTTGAAAGACTTCGGTGTACTTCCATGGATGGCAACACTTCTGGAGTGTGGAAAGTCTTTGGTGATCTTTGTTAGAAACCACTCTCATATAGTGGCACTGCTGGCGGAGTTTACTCACAAGCGATTGCTGCATTATTGTGATACCAAGTTCGGCTACAACTTCATTATGATGGAGAGGCTGGTGGAGCTCCGAGAAGCTTTACAACAGATGTTCATATGCCCTGCGTACAGAGCAAGGCCTGAGTCGAAGTCGAGAGCAGGAAGGGACAGTTATGCAACGGTTTTTGATGACAGTTTCTGGCAACAGGTTAAGGACATGCTAGAGGTGTCCAAGGATGTTATGCTGCTTATTCGTGTTGTGGACGGTGATATACCTGCGATTGGAAAGATATATGGGTGCATGAACAGGTTGGATGCAAGTTTAGAGGAAGGACAGTCGGATTATGGCAGGTACAGGGAACTTCATCAGATCATGTCTAATAGGTGGCATGAGTATCACTCGCTCATGCACTCAGTAGCGTACATGTTGGACCCCGAGTTTCAGGAGTATGAAAAGCATGCTAACAGAGAGGTCATGAAGGACTGGAATGCTTATCTGCTGGCCATGTTTACATCCAGTGAGAGGGATGTGATATGTGATGAGCTTTTAACTTACCGGAGGATAGGAGGCATTTTCAACTCATATGATGCTAAGGCTGATCACACTAAGAGGGGAGCTGTACGTTGGTGGGAGGACTATGGTTATGAAACTCCAGCTCTTCAGAAGTTGGCCATTCGAGTTCTAAGTCAGGCATGCTCGTCGTCCTCGGTGGAGAGATTGTTCAATACTTTCGAGCATGTTTCTTCAAAAAAGAGGAACAGACTTACCATGGACAGGACAGCGGATCTGGTTTTTGTGGCTTGCAACACCAGGTTGTTAACCTGCAAAAATGATTGTGATTACGACAAGTTTGTAAGCTACAAAGTCCTGGAGACAGTTCCTCATCCTGAAGACGAGCTTAAGTCAGGACAGGAAGAGGAAGATGGAGATGATGTCGAAGATCGTGAGGTCGAAGATCATGAGGTTGAAGATGACGATGAGATGTAGGATATTTGAGTAGTTTAAAAGTGTGAAGTAGTTTATGTGCAAATAAAAATATTAAGAATAATATAATAAAATATAGCATATTCCTATAATAATATAATAAGAAATAGAATATAATTTTTAAATAACATATTCTTAGAATATTCAGTAGAATATTCGTGAGCCATCGTGGGCCGTGATCATGTTCCGTGTTCGGGTTCCTGAAATCTAAGGCTCGTGTTCGTGTTCCGTGTTCGTGTTCGTAACTATGGACTTCGCAGCACACCATATGACTTAAGTGCAAGGATGATGAGATTCAACAAAGACTGCCCTTTCTGAGGAGTTCGGCTGCCCTGTAATAATACCTGAGCGTCATCTAGCACAACTGTGCCATCCCCCCAACCCACCCTGTTTACTAGCTTTTCTATGGTGAAGTTCCTAACCAAAGATGGACTTCACCAAAGCAAGCAACTCCTCAACCAGATCCAGAAACACGTCATCAACTGCCGGATACTCCATCTGAACAAACACCCAGTCTCGTGGAACAAGCCCTGGCTTACACTCTTTCAATAATTTAAGCCCAGTGAGCCGTGCAAGGATTATTCAACATGTTTTCTTTATGGAGAAAGCAATGGGAGATCCCAGCCTATGTTCTTTAGTCCATGGGAAGAGGATGATGATGATCCTCTTCCTTGACTTGGCTGTGCCTATGCTCCACCTATAGCAGTTGCTGTGACACGAGCTTCTGAGCCTGAAAAAGGTGGTATCCTGGATTCCTGATAATTTTGTTCCTGCGACTGATCCTGACCAAGTTCCAAAGTCTGATCATGGCCAGGTTCCTAAGTGCAACATTTTTGAGCCTGAGCATATGGTTCCGAACCTATGCGTACTCATGATCAAGATATTGTCTAAGTTTTGAGCCGCTCTGGATGCCCTTTGACATATACAAAAGTATTAGCGAGAGCAAGCTGAGAGGTGAACAAGAGCAGCTGCTGTAGCCTCTTATCATCTTAGCTAGAAGACCATGTTTACAGCCATGAAAGTGTAGGTTTTTGTTAAGCTTGTACAAGCTAAGAACTTTCCTTATGCTACTGCATAGGATCAAGCTGTAGCTGATGAGATGCAAGCTCATAAGAAAAATGAGACTTGGTACATTCCTGAATTTGTTCTTGACAATGCTATTATCATTTTTGACAAAGCTTCTTTTTTACATGAAAGCTGGACTGTCAGGAAAAGTTGAACGCTCCAAAGCCAGGCTTGTGGTGAGAGGCTTCACTCAGATTGAAGGCATTGACTGTACAGAAACCTTCAGCCTAGTCATAAAGATGGCCTTTATCAGACTGTTACTTGCTTTGGCAGCATAGCATGATCTTTATGTGGATGTGAAGATGGCTTTTTTACATGGAGAAATTCCTGAAGAGGTTTACATCTAGCTCCTGACAAGCCTAGATTCAAGCAAGAAGATTTACAGGCTGAAGAGGGCTCTCTATGACCTGAAGCAAAGTCCACGCATCTGGTACAAGAAAATCAATTCTTTTCTGATTTCTCTTGGATTCAAGGAAAACCATGCTGACTCATTTGTCTATATGAAGTTGGAGGATGGTGCCTTGGTCATTTTTGTGGATGATGGGATCTTTGTTTCCAACAACAAAGCACTCCTGAAATCAAGCAAAAGTTAGCCAAACTCGAGATGCAAGATTTTGGCTCTGCGAATACCTTCCTTGGGATTCAATTCAGCAACCATGATCAAGAGTTATGACACTCTCAGGCTAAGCTTATGTGGAGGAAGTATTGTGCAGGTTTGGGATTGAGAACCCCAATCCTTTTGTTACTCCAATGCAAGCAAGTACTCCTTTGTTAGTTGAGATGTCTCCTTCCAGCAAGGATAAGAAACAACAAATGGAGCTTGTGCCATATAAGTCATTGGATGCTTGATCTATTGGCCATTTGCACCTGCCCAAACATTGCTTATTTGTGGGAGCCAAGTATATGGCAAATCCAGGATGGCCACATTGGCATGCTGTAAAATGGATCTTAGAGTCATTGCTAATTTTGGCCTTTGTTTCTGGTGAAGCTTTTATTTTGTGAAGCTTTATATAGCACTCATCAAGCCAGTATTCGAGGAGAAACAACATTTTTTGTATCCAATGTGCTAAAGCTCAAGTAAATCCGCTGCAAGATAAACAAGAAATAGCTCTTCAAATTCCGCAGCTAAAAAAAAAAGAGAGAAATGACACCATAGAAAGCACGGTCACACCAGATTCACCATTTGTTAGGGGAATAATAGGAGGCGAGCTGACACTCAAATACGTGGCAATCAAGAATCAGATTGCTGATTTATTCATGAAGGCTCTAGCACCTATTGTTTTCTGCAAACATCGAGAAACACTGAACATCAAAAGGTATTTGAATTGACCTGTGGATCAACGAGTACACTGCCTTGACATCCCGGGTGAGAGCAACAATGAGTACCTAGGATACAGAGTGCACCAAAAAGAAAGAAATGCCACTTTTTCCAATCCAGAAAGCACAAAAAAAACTCTTTACACCATGTCGTCTTGGAGACGTCCTGAGGATGCAAACAAATTTGCGAGCAGTATGTAGGTAGCGGAGTCTCCCGGGTTGAGCTCCAGAGCGTGCTCTGCCACTCGAGCTGCTCGTTCGGCGTCCTGCTGGAGCTTGCAGTTCCCCAGCAATGCACTCCACGCCGTGGCCTTTTCAAGAGGTGGCACTGGCATGCTATGGACAAACTCCTCGGCTCGATCTAGCTGCCCGCTCCTCCCTAGCATGTCTGCGATGCAGTTGAAGTGATCTTTGCTTAGAGCAACGTCAAAATCACTCGCCATGGACACAAGTAATGCGTGGCAAGTGTCGTGCAACATCCCGACGTAGCTGCACGCCACCATGACACTCTTAAACGATGCCTCGTCAGGCATCACGCCGCAGAGAAGCATCTCGTGGTAAAGCTCCAAGGCCTCGAAGCCGTGCCCACTCTGGGCATAAGCTTGGATCATTGCATTCCATGAAACGACATTCCTTTTTGAAAGAGATTCAAACATCTCACGTGCTATTTCCATGCATCCTTGACCTGCGTAAGTGGCCAACATGGTCGTCCAGCCAAATGCCTCATGCAGGGGCATAGAGGTGAATACCACGGCAGCACCATGCAAATGACCATTCAGAACATTTGCTGCTATCAGTGCGTTCCAGGCAACGACGTCGCGGCATGGCATCGAGTTAAAAGTTTCCACGGCGCGGTCGAGATAGCCTCCCTGACCATGCACATCGATCATGGAGGTCCACGTTACAATGCTACGCTCCGGCATGCAAAGAAAGAGCTCCGTAGCGTGATCCAGGTGCCCGTTTTGATACATCGCTCGAAACAAAGTGTTCCAGGAGATGACGTCCCAGGCGGGCATCTTGTGGAAGGCCAAGTGTGCCAAAGTTAGCAGTCCAAGATTGCCATGGAGTAGAATCATAGAGTTCCAAGCACCAATGTTGCGCTCGGGCATCTTGTCAAAGCAACACTTTGCCTGCATTTGATGCCCATACTGGGCAAAAGCTGCCAGCATAGCGTTCCATGACATGAGATTGTGCTCGGGCATTGTTCGAAAAATCCGAGCTGCCTCCAATACCCTGCCTTGCTGCGCGTAAGCATAGAAAAGAATGTTCCACGTAGCAATGCCCCAGAGAGGCATCTTGTCAAACATGTACTTCGCGTCGTCCGGATGCCCATTCTGGGCAGTCGCTTGGATGATGGCATTCCAGGACACCTCGTTGCGAGTTGGCATCGAATGGAAGTAGAATAGAGCGGCATCAATTTCACCAAGTTGGGCACAGCCGGTAACGAGAGAGCTCAAACAGACAACGCTCCAAGAGGGAGTTCGCTCCATGAGGAGCCGAGCCTCTTGCATTTGCCCGTTGCTGGCATATACGGTGGTAATATTGTTCCAGGACACAGCGTCTCTGAGCGGCATGGCGTGGAACACTTTCCATGCCGACTGGATCTGGCCGTTGCAAATGTGTGCGTGGAGGAGGATGTTCCAGGAGAAGAGATTTGGCCGCGGCAGTGCGGCAAATACGGCAGCGGCGTCGCCCAGGCAGCCGCATTCCGCGTAAGCGTGGACGAGGAGATTGAGCAGAAAGGCGCTGCGGCTGTGGCGATCGCTGGCGGCTATTGTGCGATGAACGATCCTGGTACGAGCAACATCCTTGTGGGCAGCACACGACTGGAGAAGATTTGCGAGCTCGTCCTTCTCGCCATTGAGACGCCTCTGCCGCCATCTCATACATATAATGCCTTTCTACAGCTACAAATGAGAAAATTCCACTGCCAGTAAGTGCTCCTCGTCTTTCACGCCCAGCCTTGAGTTTGTCATCACAGCCACAAGCCCACGCAAGCTTTGTCTCCCTCATTCTTTAGAACACGATCAAGCGACCTATTTAATTTCTTTTCTTTCTCTCCCTGTGGTAGAGCATATTGAGTTGGTGCTTGTAGATAGGCACCACAAAATTTAAAACAAGTGATACATCCGACACGCGTCTAATTTGTGCCGGTTGGAAATACACCACAGGCGTGTTTCATGCCTTGATTAGTTTATCTATAATTAATTTCTTGACTTAAGAAATGATAATCCTGCCAGCCTCGTGTTTGTTGTGCTGGGCTGAGTAGAGGCTACACGCAATGGTGACGGGTCCAGCACTACAGAGAATTTCCAAGGGTCTGTGGACATGTTAGGTAAATAGAAACAAACACAGCTCTTGTAAGTTGTAGATATATTAGAGAAAGCACGTTTGCATTTCACAAGAGAATGGAAGCTAATAGCGTAAGACAAATTTTCGAGCAAGGAAACCTCGATTGATCGAGTGTATGCTCAAGCACGGCCACAGCCGATGGAGTGACCATGTTGGTATATAAACATCATATGACTCTTCATGTAATGGATCTCCTACAGGTCTTAAGCGATGCGGGGAGAGCTGCAGACTGCGATGGATCAACTATCTGAGGCCAGCGTTCAACTACAGCGATCCCTCTTCCCAGGAGGAGTAGCTTACATGGGAAACAGGTGGAGTTTCTCCCATAACTCCACCTGTGAGTAGCAGATGGTCCCACATTGCTGCGAAGCTCCCTGATCGCACATACAACCAGGTCAAAAAGTTTTTAGAACTCGAGCATTAGAAAGAAATTCAGCTTTGACACCAACCTCTCAAACCTAGCAGTCTAGACACATAAGATAACATTTGAGCGACTGCTGCTACTGCCAGATCCACTGAAATGGCTTCTTACAAATAGCAGCAACGGCAGCAGAAACTGTCCAGTTTCGCAGAGCAAGCAGCACGAGGATCAAGAATCCAGAAATCATCAATTAACGTCTGGGTTTCGAGGCTACGAACACTTTCGATCTCGCACACAGTTTCAGGGAGACCAGCAGTGGGATGCTCCAGATCGCAACGAGTCGTGCAGCACGGGCCGGCACATCGTTCCTGGAGGGAAGACGACTTGCTTTGGGCAGGATTTGGCTCGACTTGAAGGCAGTAAAACCGTTCTCACCATGTATAAACACCGTGTGACAAGAATCGCATTTTCTAAGCTCGCATGCGCATCACGTTGCTGACGAATGATCCTTTTGACTGCTAGAACTGCACAACAAGAAATTCACCGCTAGTGGAGCTGGTTGCAGAAGCGCCAGGCAGATTGAGCACAAGCACGACAATCGCCATGCCCGCCAGAGACGTGGTGTTGATGGTGTATGCACAAGAAAACATCATCTCGCCGAAGAGATATTTCTCGCCATGCCCTGTCATGACATTGTCTCTGCTTGCAGCATATGCGTAACGTGAGCATCATAGACGCATGTTGATTCTTCCACTGGACAATGTTTGATTCCACTACAACTCTATCACGCAGAGGCTGAGGAACTGGAGAACGTGACTAAGAGTGTTTTATCGCTTGCCGTCCGGAGCACTGCGTGTTTTCAAAAACGATGCCCAAGCCGGATGTGTGTGAAGCGCGAACGATCTTCAACTCGACGACAAAAATGTCGTGTCTTGGACCGCCGCCTACACGCGGGGCGGTTGTCCCAGCAGGGCGAGGCCAAGAGGCTGTTGCATGCCGAGCGGCAGGAACATCGTGTCGTGGGGCGCGGCGCTGGCGGCCCACTGTCACGGGCACAAAATGCCCAAGTCGAGGGCGATCCTCCTCACCACGCAGTCCGACGCGGGACTGCAGGAGGAGGCGACTCAGCATCCGCGACTTGGTGCTATGGAACTCCAGACGACAAACGAGATGACACAGTGGGTGGGACACGACGGCCCGAGGCTTCGCTCTGGCATCCACTGAAACATGGCCTCCAGCAACTTGGCAGGTGCGTGCTTGTAGCTGGAGGAGGAGTTCTTCTTTCTCGTTGTCAAGAAAGTTGAACGGTCAGCTCTTGTTCTCAAACCAAGCTGAAGCCAGTCTCTCGCAAAATCCGCAGTTAAATGCTGCCATTTGCCACAACATAGAAATGAAAAACCCATCCCAATTACTCTTTTCTCGCCTGTGTTCTCCACTCCACTCGAGTCCAACGGACTTCCTGGACAAGGCGTCCTAGGCAGTGTGAACTTCGGCCACTATTTCGTTGTTCCTGGCATCACAATCCAGTTGTGACGCTGATCTCTTGTGATCCCTCTCCACTTACATCAAGGCGATATATGTTAACAGATGGGTCTTTCCCCCCTGGTGTGTTTACCTCTATGCCCTTGCATGAGGCTTTTGGCTGGCCGACGATGTTGGAATCCATAGACAATTTCCAGGCACCCTGGAATTCCAGGCATGTCACGGCATGGCATCAACCATGGCGCTGTGAGATATATAGCCTCGCTGACCATGCACGTTGATCCACTATGGAAAGAAAGAGCATGCCCCATCTCTAAACAAGATAGGGGCCAAATTTAACAATCCGTGAGTAGAATGAGTTCCACGCCATGCCGTTCAGCAGGCACTTGCAAGAGGCTCGGTTACTCATGGAGCGAACTCCCTGTTGGAGAGTTGTCTCCGGCTGCTCTAGTTGCGCTCGGGCATCTTGTCAAAGCAACACTTCGCCTCCGATTGATGCCCATACTAGGAATAAGCTGCCGGCATAGCGTTCCACGACATGAGGTTGTGCTCGGGCATTGTACGAGAGTCGAACTGCTTCCAATACCATGCCTTGATGCGCGTAAGCATAGAAAAGAATGTTCCACGTTCAATGCTCCGGGCACCTTGCCAAACACGTACTTCGCATTCTCTGGATGCCCATTCTGGGCAGTCGCTTGCATTCCAGGACACCTCGTTGTGAGTTCGCAGTAGAATACAGCAGCATCAAGGTCACCATGCCGATCTATTGCAAATGAGCAACATCTTTCTCGGCGCCAGACGACTGGAGAAGATTTGCGCGGGATTGAGACGCCTCTGCCGCCATCTCATACACAAAAGGCCTTGCATCTACACGAAGTTATCATCACACATTGACAGAAGTGTGTCCACCCTGCCCCCGGGATGGCTGGATCTCCGAAAAACAAGGAATGGGTCGCGTCGAAACCGAAGAGGAATCCAGCCAAGTAGTGGCCCAACGAGCATGAGGCACACGGTAGAACGAGTTTGCCATAGCAGCGACAAGTGTGTCTCTCATTCTCTAGGACAATGTACAACAGGCACGATCAAAGCTGCCCTCGCTACCTGTTTTATTTGCGAGCATTTGTCAAGTTTTGGATACTTCTAATTGTGACGGTTGGTAGCTAGCTAGGAAAGAATCAGCGTGTTTCATGCTTTTGTCTCTATAATTATGGCTTGGCTTAACTAATGATAGTCGCAGCCAACCTCGAGTTTGTTGTGTTAGACGGGTGGCACAAAACACAATTCTTTTAGAAGGCAGGCGAATGGAAGTTAATAGCAGCGGTAAGAAAAATCCACGAGCAAGGAAACCTCTGATGCTACGGCGTGGGCTGTGGTCGCCGGATGAAGACGAGCGATTGATCGAGTGCGTGCTCAAGCACGGCCACAGCCGATGGAGTGACGTTCCAAAGCATGCCGGTATATACACATCATGACTCTGACATGAGAAGTGCTTTCATAGAGACAAATGATCTGTGGTGATGGTCGTGAGCACAGGTCTCAAGCGATGCGGGAAGAGCTGCAGGCTGCGATGGCTCAACTATCTGAGACCGGAGCTCAACCACAGCGATTTCTCGCCCCAGGAGGAGAAGTTCATTGCGGAAATGCATGCAATTGTGGGAAACAGGTGGGGTTTCTCTTCCAATGTTTCTACGAACCCGTGAAACTTTTGCCTTACAACTAGCAGATGGTCCCAGATTGCTGCAAAGCTCCCCGGTCGCACAGATAACCAGATCAAGAACTACTGGAACTCGAACATCAGAAAGAAGTTCAAGGCGCTTGGGATTGATCCCGTGACAGTCTCTCAGACCCAGCAGTCTATAGACACAACTTCCTCAGGCTCTACAAGTGAATTCGAAGCTCCAAGTGCCGCTACTGCCAGATCCACTGAAGTCGCCTCTTGGGCATTCACAAACAGCAGCTGCAGCAGCAGCAGAAATTTTCCAGCTTCGCAGAGCCAGCAGCACGAGGATCAAGAACCCAGAAGTCATGGTCTGGAGGCCACGAACATCCTCGACCCTTTCGATTTCGCATATATTTTCGAGGATTCCAGCAGCGGGATGCTCCAGAGCAGCGAGTCGTGCAGATCTTTCCTGGAGGAAGACTACTTATTCTGGGCAGGATTCTGCTCAACTTGAAGGCAGGAAAAACCATTATCTCCATGCACAAACTCCTTTTTCTAAGCTCGCATGTCTACAAGTTCACTGCTAGAACTGCAAAACAATTGAAAGATTTATCGCCATATACACCGGTCATCATGTCATGCGAGTGGAGCTGGTTGCAGGAGCTTGCTCTGCGCCAGCAGCTTGCGAACAGGACGGCAATCTCATCGCCGCCAACACCCTGATCGCTAATCATCTCGTCCAGATGGTCCAGATCTATGTATGCCAGCAGCAGCCTGACTCTACAATGCCACGCAGACGCTGATTCATGAACTCCATAATCAGCAGCCCGTGTCTTCGTGGGCGATCCTCCTCATCACTCATTCGACGAGAAGGCGACTCGCCATCCCCAGCATCCGCGACTCCACGAACGGGCAGTAATGGTCGCGAGTAGCTGAGTCGCCAGAGAGAAGATCATCCCCGGGCACAGGCGCGCGCGCGCTCCGAGGACGACAAACGGATGGCACGATCCGAAGCTTCGCTCCAGCATCTTCTACAAGCCCACTAGCTCCCAGCGCAGCGATCATGGGATACACAATGAGACAATCGACCGACCGTCATCTCGGGGAATGCCTCGGAGGAGAATGCCATCGTTTGAGCATATGCCGTAAACGGGCATGTGGGCCTCGGTGAAGATGTTTCCTATGTGGAGATCTAGCGAAAATCACCACCCGGTTCTTGTACCAAGTCGTGGATGTAGAGCCGCCTCGAAGCCCAGCAGGTGGGCGGCGGCAGGCATACCATGGTTGATATGGGTTGTTCACTTTGATTGATAGGGAATTCTAATGCACCCAGCAAGTTCAGGAACATTTCTCTTCTTTCTCGTTGTTCCAGCTCTCTCTCCCCGCAACATATAGATTACAAACAACCAAGAGCGCAAGATTATCGAACGAGTTTTTGGCAGACTCCACCATGGCATGCAGCAGCCCGACGTAGCTCCACGCCGGCCTCGAAGCTGTGCCCGTTTTGGGTATAAGCTTGGATCATAGCATTCGATGAAACAACGTTCCACTTCGGAAAATCTCACGTGCTTTTTCCATGGATCCAAAGCCTCATGTAGGGGTGTAGAGGTGTTTGCAGGCTCCCGGAGGATGGTGGAGGTGAAGTCGTCGGCGGTCACGGTGCTTACCACAGTGGCACTATGTACATGACCATTTAGAACATTCGCTGCTATCATGTCCCTCAAGGCTCTGATACCATGAAAAGATATGCAGAAGCAATGATGGATGTTTTAACTCGAATGGCCAAATATACATATGTAACTTCACGCACCGAGTTAAAAGTTTCCATGGCACGGTCGAGACCTCACCATGCACTATCATGGAGGTCCAAGTTACCGTGCTACACTCCAGCATGAAAAGAAAGAGTGATCCAGGTGCCCGTTTTGGTAGCTCGAAACAAACTGTTCCAGGAGATAACGTCCTAGGCGGGTTACGCTCTTCAAAACAACACTTCGCCGATTGATGCCCATTTGGGGCATAAGATGCTAGCTTAGAGTTCCACGACATTGGGCAACCTCCGTTATTCTGCATTGCTCCGCGTAAGCATAAAAAAAATGTTGCAATGCTCCAAAGAGGCATCTTGTCACACACGTACGTCGCATCGTCTAGATGTTGTTCCAGGACACAGCGTCTCTGTCCAGGATAAGAGATTCAGCGGCGTCGCCCAAGCAGCCGATCCTGTGTGAGCAACATCTTTGTGGGCACCACACGACTTGCGAGCTCGTCCTTCCCGGGACTTCAAATGAGGAGGATTTGGAGGCCCCCACTGCCAAGATTCGAGGCTGGCTTGGCCGCAATCCCTCCAGTGAGTGCTCCTCGTCTCTCACGGCCAGCCTTGAGCGTTGACAAAATCCCGCCCCGTAACGTAACGCGAAGAAACAAGGAATGGGTCGCCCAGTTGGCTGAGTTGTAGCCAAGGGAAAGCAACGAGCGAGCGAGGCGAGCGTGAGACACGTCCTGGTCAGCAATGTAGAACGAGCTCGCCATCGCAGCCACAGGCAACGCCAGCTCTTTTGGAAGCTTGCGTGGTGTCCCTTGTCCACCTTTCCCTTGAATTCCCGTCTATAATGTCTCTCTCATTCTCTAGGACAACAACAGGCACGATCAAATTTTATTTGCGGGCATTTGTCGAGTCTCGGAGGGCGATGCTATGCCGACGCGCTTTTATTGGAAATCACACCAAATCCTCGAATCATCGTGTTTCATGCCTACAGTCTTGATTAAACAAGAGCCTTGGCATTTTGCCTCAACTTGGTCCACCGCCGGCTTAATTATTACAGCGCTCAAGAAATGATAATCGCGCCACCTCGGAGACTAGCTTTCATCTAGGCTCGTAGCTGCACACTGGCAATGGTGGCGGGTCCAACAATACAAAGATTTTCCAAGGGAAAGAGAAGTAAAAGCACGTCTCGCAGTTACAAATGGTAGTTAAATCGAAACAAAAAAACGATACAGTTCTTGAGAATTGTGTTATATAGTCACTGGAGAAGAGAAGGTTATGGGCGAAGAGGAATATTTTCCTTCTCCACAGTGCTGTCCAGGAACTCAAAGGTCCCAAGTTTGGATCTTGCAGGACAATGGAAGTTAATAGCAGTGGTAAGACAAATCTTCGAACAAGGAGACCTTTGATGGCACGGCGTGGGCTGTGGTCGCCAGAGGAAGACGAGCGATTGATGGAGTGCCTGCTCAAGCACGGCCACAGCCGATGGAGTGACATTCCAAAGCATGCGGGTATATAAACATCATGTGACTCTCATAAGCAATCTCGTACATGTGATGATCCTGACAGGTCTCAAGCGATGCGGGAAGAGCTGCAGGCTGCGATGGATCAACTATCTGAGGCCGGAGCTCAACCATAGCGATTTCTCGGCCCAGGAGGAGAAGTTCATTGTGGAAATGCATGCAATTGTGGGAAACAGGTGGGAGTTTTCACTTCATGACCAATGTTTGCTACGAACCCTGAAACTTTTCCCATACAACGAGCAGGTGGTCCCAGATTGCTGCAAAGCTCCCCGGTCGCACAGACAACCAGATCAAGAACTACTGGAACTCGACCATCAAAAAGAAGTTCAAGGCGCTTGGGATTGATCCCGTGACACACGCTAGATCAACCTCTATGCACACAACCTCCTCAGGGCTTATTAGAAGTGAATTCGAAGCTCCTGCCGCGAGTGCTGCTACTGCCAGATCCACTGAAGTCGTGTCTTGGGCACTCACAAACAGCAGCAACAGCGGCGGCAGCAGTACTAGCAGCAGCAGCAGCAGAAATTCTCCAGTTTCGCAGAGCCAGCAGCACGAGGAGCCCAGGAGTCATCAATGTCTGGTGGGTTTCGAGGCTGGGTCTGTTGCTGCTGCCGCTACGACCATCCTCGACCCCTTCGATCTCGCACACATTTTCGAGGAGCCCAGCACCGAAATGCTCCAGAGCAGCGAGTCGCGGGGCGGATCTTTCCTGGAGGAAGATGACTTGTTCTGGACAGGATTCGGCTCGCAGGAAAATCATTCTTCGTTGAGTGAAATCCGTATATTCCACGTGTAAACTATCGCCACTGAAAAAATATGCCAGAGTGTATAGAGATACAAAATCGCATTTTCTAAGCTCGCATGCGCATCACGTTGCTGACCAATGATCCCTCGAGCAACTACAGTGCTACAAGTTGACTACTAGAAGAACTAGATGTTCACGAAAGCATTAACGCTTTTTAGATTGATCACCACGCTTTGTACAATCTATTGATCGAAAGATTTCTCACCATATATAGAACAACCATGTCATGCGAGTGGAGCTGGTTGCGATCGCAGGTGAGCTGCGGCAGTGCAGGAGCTTGCTCCGTGCCAGGCAGCTCGAGCACAAGCACGAGAATCTCGTCGCCTCCAACACCTTGATCGCCAATCATCTCGTCCAGATGTATGCGCGCTGCGGCAGCCTGGACGACGCTTGCCGCGTCTTCCAGCACATTCAGCAGCCAGATGCCTTCTCCTGGAACATCCTCGTGCAGGCGCACGCCACCTCTGGCCGCCTCCACGACGCGGCTGCGATCTTCTTCTCCGTCATGCCCGCCAGAGACGTGGTGTCGTGGACGACCATGGTGAGGATGTATGCACAGGACAGGCAACAACGTCTGGCGCAGGAGATCTTTCTCGCCATGCCATGTCACAACCTCGTCTCGTGGAACACCTTGCTTGCAGGCTATGCCCAACAAGGGTATATAGAAGTAGCGCAGCGGGTGTTTGATGCGGCGCCTTGCAAAGATGAGATTTCGTGGACGACTATGTTACAATGCTACGCAGACGCTGAGGAACTGGAAAACGTGCTAGGAGTGTTCCATCGCTTGCCTGAGCACTGCGTATTTTCAAAGACGGTCGTCATGTGTGCGTATGCCCAAGCCGGGCATGTGTGTGAAGCTCGAACGATCTTCGATTCCATGGAGGGCGATGACAAAAACGTCGTGTCTTGGACCGCAATGATCTCCGCCTACGCGCGGGGCGATTGTCCCAGCAGCTGGGGCGAGGCCAAGAGGCTGTTCGATCGCATGCCGAGCGGCAGGAACATCGTGTCGTGGGGCGCGGTGCTGGCGGCGCACTGTCACGGCGGGGACGTTGATACCGCGCGGCACATCCACGGCAAAATGCCCGAGTGGGACGCCGTGTCGTGGGCGATCCTCCTCACCGCCCAGTCCGACGCGGGACTGCTGGAGGAGGCGACTGCCGGCTTCCACGCCATGCCCAGCATCCGCGACGTGGTGCTATGGAACGCGCTGCTCCAGGCGCAGGCCAAGAACGGGCAGCTGCTCGAGGACGACAAGCGCATTTTCCACAAAATGCCGCAGTGGGATCCCGTGTCGTGGAACACCATCATCGGGGCGGTGGCGGCGAAGGGCTCGATCGAAGAGGCACAGTGGCTGCACGAGTGCTTGTCTCACAAGACGGTTGTGTCGTGGAACGCCATGATCGCCGCGCTGGGAGCTAGTGGGATCATCGAGGAGGCGGAGGCGATGTTCCAGCGGATGCCGGAGCGAAGCCTCGGGTCGTGGAGCGCGCTTGTTGCCTCGCTGGCGGGGAATGGCTACTGTGTCGAGGCGAAGCAGGCGCTGGAGGAGATGCCCGTGTGCACGGCCGCTGCTGTAGCGGCGATGATTGGGTGCTATGCGGTATTGGGGGACGTGGCGGAGGCGAAACGGGTGTTTGAGCGGCTGCCAGAAGATGTTGCGGTGATGAATGCCATGGTTTCAGCGTATGCCGTAAACGAGCATGTAGAGCTGGCCAAGGAGTTGTTTGATCGATTTCCAGAGAAAAGCGTGCGTTCATGGAACAGCATTATAGAAGCATATGCACAGTCTGGGCAGATGGTAGAGGCGAAAACATTGTTTGATTCTATGCCGGAAAGAAACAACCTCTCGTGGAATGCTGCTCTTGCAGCTTATGCGGCAAACGGGCAACTTGAGGAGGCCGTTTCTACCTTTGGGAGGATGTCTCACTGCAACACTTGCTCGTGGAACTGCATGGTGGCTGCCTTTGCACACAAGGGGCGACTCGAGGATGCAAAGATTCTCTTTAACAACACTCCACAGCACAATCTGGCGTCGTGGAACAACATAATCGGTGCGTATGCCGCCAAAGGGCATGGGCACGAGGCACTCGACCTGTTCCAGGAAATGGTGCTGGCCGGCTTCACCCCAGACTGCATCACCTTCATGCATGTCCTAGGAGCGTGCAGTCACGTCGGGATGTTGCGGCGGAGCTGTGAGCTGTTTGCATGGATGAGCAGCGAGCACTACCGCAGCCCCACCCGGCAACACTACTACAGAATGATTGACGTCGTGGCGAGGGCGGGAGAAGTAGCGGAGGCGGAACGGCTGGTTCATGGCCTGCCGTTTTCGCCGGATCCTGTGGCATGGTCGACGGTGCTGGCCGCGTGCAGAACTCACGGGGACGTTGAGTGCGGAGCCCGAGCAGCGCAGCAGCTGGGTTGCATGGGAGTTGCAGTGGGCACGCGTGGTGAGGAAGAAGAGTCGCATCATAGGCAATGGCATCGCGGCAGACAAGACGAGAGCTGCAGCAATCACTACGTGCTCCTGTCCAACATGTTTGTGGCGGTTGGCCGGCGAGAGGACGCTGCGTGCTTGAGACGAAGCATGCAAGACAAAGGGCTCCGGAAACCACCTGGCGTGAGCATTGTCGAGCCACATTTCTAGATTCTATCTATGGTTTCTGTGGCCAAACTTACAGCAAGGAACACGAGCGAGTATCGGCAGAGCTCCTCACACTCCTCTTGACGAAACCACACCTTGGTGATCCCACCCGGTTCTTGTACCTCCAGGAAGCACGCATTGCGAGCCACTGTGCATCCATCATCTCAAACGCTACGCAGTACAAGAAGTCAAAAGCTTGCTCGTCTTAACCAGATTCTTGTGCGTTCTCAGAACATACCGGCCAAGTTCTAAAGTCGCCGGTGTAGAGCGGCCTCGAAGCTCGCAGTGGACCATGGATAACTTTTCTTTTCGTTCTGCACCCAGTGCTGACACAAAATGATACAAACTTATGCCCGTTGTTCGGCTTCAAGAGGAGCAATTTTCTTTCTTCCAACCTTGCTAAATCGTCTTCGTCTTCCACAAAGCAATATTGTTCTTTCGATGGCTTGGAGCTAGCTTTTCTCGCGGCCGGGAAGACGAACCAGGCCATGAACACCAACACGATCGCCGCGAGTCTCATTGTTCCAGCCCTGCTCCAACGAGAGAACGATGCTATCCCATTCAATAGAGTTTAAGCAGCTAGGCTGGCACTGACTGCAAGATTATCGAAGCTGAACTAGTTAATGGCCTAGTGTCAATCTGATCAGCGTTAGTAGCGTGAAGCAAGCGTTCGATCTAGCTCGAACAATAGGGCCGCATTTTTGGATCACTCACAAGTTTGGCAAGCAGTATGAAAGAGGAGATTACCACTTCGGCGTGTTCAAGCAAAGCTACTTGTGGACAGCCGGGATATGGACGCAACATTCCGTTTTGACTCCAGTTTCATGAAATAACAAAATTGTTTGGTCTGGGCACGTTCAGTTGAAAAGGAAAGATCTTTCGAGTCACCCGTTTGACCTTGATGATCCATGACTTCCTTTAAATCTCGCCTCAAGGTATATCTTTCGGTTTGTCCAACACCCTGGAGAAAGAATCACGGGAAGATTGAGCGCCGTGGTAGCACAGACGGCCCCTTGGGTCGGGAAGAGCACAGTTGAATGTGTGGTGTTTCAAGCACCGAGTCCACAGTTGCTTTGTGGCTTGGTGTAGCAGCAAGCCGCGCTTTCTTCACGAATTTACGCTTTTGTTGGAACCCAGAAAAGTGTGATAGCCTCCGAGCTCTCTCCACGTCCATCTGGGCCTTCGTAACGTCACTCCCGCTCCTCACAACCTCCTCCGAGAATGCCAATGGCACTGCTGCTAGCGGCATTTCTTCCACTGCGTTTGGCTCGGCGCTATCGTATCCAAGAAACTCCATCCGCGTGTAAATGTCGTCGACAACGCGAGGGACCTTCTCGTAGCTGCAAACACAAAGTAAACACACAAAGTAAACAGGACTGCCAACCAAAAGGGAATGTAAACTCGTCACCTTGAGCGCACGACTCGGTCAGCAAACTTGACAAGGGGCGCCTCCTCCGTGAAGATATCACCACCAAGGCTGAATTGGATGTCATACAGAAGCTCACAGACTTGCTCCGTGAACTCGGCCTCCATGCCCGGTGCTTGACCAGCGGCTAGCATTTCAAGCCGAAGCTGGATCTGAAGCGTGTATCTGGAGGGCAATCCAAGTCAGTCAGAGAGAAAACATGAAACGAGAAAACATACTCGTTGAGTTTGTGATCCATCGAATGGCTGCTGCCGCCTTCCGCATATTTGAAGGACAACTCCTTGGGAGCCAGGAGGAGCAAGTTGTGGATCGTTTCTGGAGGAGCACGACACGCCTGGACAGCGGCAGCCGTGTCCCTCACGAGCTTCCCTGCGTCGAAGTTGCCGGCACTGATGCAACCTTCAAGCCTTTCGGCTAGAGAAGAGGTATACGACTCTGCCATGTCCTGCGAGACGTCCATTGCTGGATCATTGTCATCCTGTTCTTGATGCTTGCAATCACCTGGTCCCGTGTCGGGTGCAGCAACGACTTGTCCAGACGTGCTCTCTTGCCACCGTTGTCTCTTCCAAGCTTTGAAAACTCCCGGGTACATGGACTCTTTGAACACCGGGTCCATCCAGTCCATCCTTGCATTCTGGAGCAGCAACTTCATACACCAGCTCCACGCCTCGTTCCAGCTACCTGAGAGCAGCCGTGTGCATGGCTGCTTTGCGTCGTCCGAGGCATTCGAAACTCTCACGCTGGTGAGAGCGTCTTGTCCTGTGACTATACGTAACGTGGCCGACGAGATGGACAGTGGCTCCAGAAATCCTTTCAGCTGTCTCGTCGTCCCACCCTGCGTAACCTCCATATCCACGAGAGCAACAGCAACTTGACGTGCCAGGAAGAGCAGGATCAAGCTGAGCTCATGCTGCTGCCGGCAGACGAGCTCCTCGGGCAAGTGCTCAAGCCTTTGTAGCAACTCGCGTCTCGCGCTTCCAGTAAGCTCCTTGCCGACCCCGCTCCTTTGCCGATGCTGGTACACGACGTATGTCTCGACTACTCTGTGCTGCTGCGCCGAGGCCACAGTTCGATCGCTGCGTGGAAGCACGGCAGTGAGAGCAAGACGAATCTTGGAACACCCGTGCTCGTCCAAACTTGTGCTCTCACCCAGTGATGTGATGCCAACGTCACATACAAACCGGTGCTTGTCCGAGATGCGCACACGGAGCTTGGCTGGAGGAGTAAGATGGCGCTGGGTGGTGCGTGGGAAAACTAGCGGCAACAAAAGCACTGGAAGGAGGAGACGGTGTGGCATGACGAGGGTGGCGACGAGGAAGGTGTCCACGGAGGAGAAACCCCAGGAAGAGGAGGAGGAGCTCTTGACAGCTTGGAGCAAATCCATCAAGGTGGCGGCTTCTCCCGGCGGCTGGAACCAAAGAGCGTGTACGTTCTTCTTTTCCAAGAGCTTGTGGAGAGAAGCGATTCTTCGCTCTTCTTCGGGAAGCCCGGCCGTGTCCGAGGACGAGGAGAGGAATGCATGGAGCTCTTGCCGGGATGGCGCCGTGGACAGCACTAGCAACAAGCTCGGGCGGGTGATGGGTAGCAGCATCGACTTTCCGCGATCACCATTGTCGTCGAGCAGCAGCGGATCCCACGAGTAAGCAGTGAGAAGCGGCAGTAACGCATTCGCGATGTGGAATGCCCAGGCATGGCGAGGAGCAGCAGCAGCGTGATCTTCCTGAGCATCTCCCACTAGTAGCTTGTCCACGCAATCCCGGAATGCCTTGATGCTACGCTCGTTTCTCGCCGACGCGAACGGCGCCGTCCCAGCTCTCCCCAGCACACTCGTCGACGCCCCAGACGCGAGCGAATCCAAGAAGGTGAATGCCCACATTGTGTTGCTGTTGCTTACCATGGCCAAGATCCTGCGCACCAAGCTCTCCAAGGCACAGCCATAGCTGCGCGCTTGCCCGATCAAATGCCGCACGTCCACCGCCACCACCACTCGCTCCACCTCCATTCTGCCCTAGCATACTCCACCAAGGAGCAAGCAACCCTACTCCCATTCCTCTTCTTGATCTAGCTAGCTAGCTATGGCTGACCAAGGAAGCTTACTAGACGGGCGGGAAGAGCGAGTAGCGGCGGAGCTCCTTCCTCTGCTCACACTCCCTCTTAACGAGGCCACAGCGGCACATATGATCGAGCTGGTCTTCTGTGAAGACGCCAATGTGATCCACCAGCGGCGGGTACTTGGATGCCTCGAGCGCCTTGCGCTTGTCGAGCACGGCCTGGGCTAGCGGCGCCCAGTATGCGCGCTTCCTGTGTGGCGACTGCGTGACGATCCAGCGGAGATAGGAATTGGGCACCGATTCCAGCTCCCGCTTCTTGTACCGCCCAAAATCGAGGATGTAGAGTGGGCCGCTGCTGGCCACGAAGATGAGCTTCTTGTGTCGATAGCCCGCCGGAAGGAGCCTGCGAGGGAGAATGCTAGATTCCCACGCCCGCGCAAGCGACAGTGCCATAGCCATAAACCCTAGATCCTTCGAATCTTTCTAGCACAAAAGTCAGTGATTAAAGGTGGTAGTTAACTTTTGCTTGTATAGACAGGGCGAGATCATCGACGGCAGGTCTCCTCGCTCTCTTCTCTCTCCAGTTGCAAAACAAAAGAGGACTAGAGCTAATTTACAAATACCTTCGGGAGCGTGATCGCGAACGAACGAACGAACGAACGAGCAGCTGGAGCATGAGTGGAGAGCGAGGAAAACCAAAAGTGTTGCTGCTGCTGCTGCCGTCTTTGCCGAGTTAGCAAGTCTTTGCTGGTGTTCTCAGTGGAGCTTCGATCCAGGAGGAGTTGAGGTTGGTTCTACTCTTTTCGCACTCGAGTTGCACAAAATGTGTTCTCAGGCTTGTTTCCTCTATCTATTCCATGCCACAAGCAAGAAGTTAGCACGTCGCCAACAACAACCACAAGCCACGCACCTCTAATGCAGCTAGTCTATCCAGTAAGGCACCGCACTCTTCAAGTGTAGCCTTTTCCTGTTTGGCCACCTCCGCAAGCCCCGAGATAAGACCGTCCATCTTCTCAGTCTGTGACAGCGAATAAAGTTAAAAGACAAGGAAACAGGGAGCATGCATACCTTAGGCATGAGATTCACAACAGCCGACCCCAAGGATCCCATGACATCCACCGTACAGCATAAAGCGTCCCTAATAGCTTGGACGTCGGCCTGCACATCGTCAACAATCTCGTCGCATCAGGAAAAGAAGAAGAAAAAGGAAAGAATTCATTACCCTTGCACCGGCAGTCACAGGTACCCTCAGCACTGCAGCCTCTAGAGCTTCCATCGCCCCAGACAATGCAGCCGAATGCTCGGCGTGAAGTGCCGCCCAGCTCTCTAGGTGAGGGCCCTTGGGTGGTATACATATGTCAGCCTCAACGTACATGACAACAGCATAATGAGTTTCACCTGAGACGAGAGAATCGCCTGGAGTTTTCTCGCTTGTCTCGCTTGTTGCAGCTTGATCCGTTTCATGGCTACAGACTTTCGAAGCTCCGACGTTTGCAGCCACGCGTTGTAGATGGACCTCTGCCAAATGTTATAGAATGGAATCAGTCACCAGGAAAAGAAAAAGAGTTAGAGACGTTCACCTCTGCTATGGCCCTCTGAGCATTTTTTGCAGCCTCCGCTCGAGCGTTGACAAAGCACCACTGAAGCCAGCGGTTGTGCAGTATACGCAGATACTGAGCTTCTTCCTGTTGGCTCATAGCTTTCTTTCCTTTGCGCATGTCCATGGGAAAATGTAGCAAGCTGGAAATGCTGCTAGCTCGGCTGCTGTGCCCGCTTGGTGGAAGCTGAAACGATGGAATCCTCGTCCTGGTGGGACTCGGAATACTTCGAAATGGGGAGGATACCAGCATCCGGGACGGGGACGGTGGCTGCTGCGCCGACAGACGGGAGGGTGACATCGCCGTAGACTGCGAGGCAGTCGAAACCGACAGACTCTTCAACCGGCGAACATTCTTCCCTCCCAACGTAGAAAAATCTTGGTCCGTCAGCGAGCAGCCAACTATGTCACCCTGAGAGAGACGCCTCGACCTGGCTGTAGTGCGCTTCACAGACCCGGAAGAAGTGACGGTGGTGGCACCGGAGCCCGACGAAGATAGGCTCTCGCAGTCCGAGAGGTTATCCAGCGATGGTTGGCTCTCCAAACTTGCTAGTTCCGTTTCATCAGGAAGCTGTCGAACAGACTCGTCAACCTGCTGTTGATGTTGGGCCATGTCTCGGCCTCCGCCACTTTCAAGGTCCCGTTTGGGCCTTCCCCTGCTCTCCGAGAGCATATGCCGAGATACACTTTGTGGCGAGTCAGGCAACGGGCCATCGTTGATCGACCTTGTCAAACTGCGTATTGGAGGTGTACGCTTTACCGGCCGAGTGGTACCATTCATGGCTCGTCCCTGCACCACTAGACCTGTCATCTTTCCACCTTTATCTTTGTCGGAGCTAAGATCTACGCTCCGGCTCAGTGCTTTCGGAGAGTTTCCAGCAGACCACCTGTGCACACCGGAGTTGTCTTGAGGCCGTGCATTCTCAGCCTGATCCGTTGTTGGCCGCCGAACAGGAGTTCTCTTCCTCTCTGGTGTCCCCTTCCTGTCAGACGGGGCCTTGTCCGAAGATAAGCTCCTGCGGATGCCATTCTCGGCGGGCCTCAGAGTATGATCCAGCTGCAAGGATGCGGATAGAGCGTGGGTGGAGGGCCACAAGCGCTGAGCCGAGCGCAACGCATCTGCATTCCCCGGCCCAGAAGAAACTCTCGGCACCGTTCTCGGAGTACCTGGCCGGCCACTGCTGCCGCTAGTGGTTGACGAAGACGAGGCTGGCGAGTCGGGCCTCTTGCGCTCCGCCGACACTGCTCGCTTGGGGCCTTCCGGGCCATTGGAGCTGCGACCGATGAGAGGAGAAGGAAAGCGGCGAGCTGGAGTGGTGGGAGTCGGGGTGGGAATGGAGGTCGGTGTGGTGGACTTGTACCTGGAGGTGATTTCCCTGCTGCGGTGTTGCTTGCGTAGGATCTCCCCATTGCCACTAGAGCCTTTGTCTGCCAGAGCTGGGATGGAATCCCCTCTTTGTTGTGGCACTCCTCCTGTGGCTGTGGCTGTGGCTGTGGCTGTGGCTGGTGATGACGAAGACAAAGCAGCGACCATGATCAACCAGTGCTGCTATCGCCGAGCTTCCGCTTCCTCATCTGCCCCTGGCCTGCCCTAAATTAGGGCATGCGGACACGCGACCGGGATTCTCCTCCTCCCCGCGCTCTACATTCTTTCTCGAATCTCTCCCCCACTGTTAAGATCCGCGGAGCTGCCAATTAAAGACGATCAACGGGGAAGATCTGAGGCCCGGAAAGAGGGAAAGCCTACCTGCATTGCGAGGGAGGCCGCAAGAAATGGCGCATTCGCCATGCGCGATGGCACAGATTCGACATGCGAGCCAAGAAGCCTCCAAATTTCCCGCAAAGAAAGATAGATCAGGACCTGCGCAGCAGAGCACGATTATCAATGTCTCGCGGCCGCCCGACCCGATGATCCCATCTCGGCTCAGCAGCGAGTACCTTCTTCTACATCCTACGCGCGGCGCCTAGTCGTGCACCGCCGCTGGAGCCCTAGACCCACTGCCACTACTGCTTGGAGGCGGCGATGGCGATGGCGCTGGCTCCTCCTCCCTGCTCCGCCCCAACACACACGGCCAGTAAAAAGAGATTACTTACCACTCCGTATCAGGAGTTTTGGACATGATGGCGCTCGTACGGCAACGCTACGAGGTGGCCCATTTTCCCGGTCACGGGGCGCATACATTTTATCTTTGGAGGGTTTTAGCTAGGATTCTTGGCTCTGGCTCTGGCGCCATGGAGGAGGCCATGGAGCTACTGTCCCGGGAGGCGCGCGAGCTCTCGCTGGGCAGCCAGGTGGAGCGCGTCGCAGCGCCCGTGTCTCCGCTGCGTTTCCTTCGCGATTTCGTCATGCCGGGTAAGCCGTGCATTGTAACGGGCGGCATCCAGCACTGGAGCGCTCTCCGCAAGTGGTCCAACGATTATCTTCGCGCAGCGCTTGGGGATCAGCAGGTCAGCGTCCATTTCACTCCAGATGGCCGCGCAGACTCAATCGTCGACGTGCGCGGCATGGAAATGCTACCAGATGCCGACGGCGGTGGCGACGGCGATCTGGATCCCATCGATGGCGACCAGGAAACGCTCATGTTCGTCAGCGCTCACGTCCAGTCGATGCCTTTCGCCCAAGCTCTGGAAGCTGTTCTCGGCAAGAGAAGCAGTAGCAACGTAGCCTACCTCCAGCAGCAAAACGACTGCCTGCGCACAGAGTACTCGCGGCTGATCGACGACGTGGAGGCCGACATCCCGTGGGCGACTCAAGCGCTGGGCTCACTGCCCGAGGCTGTCAATCTCTGGATTGGCAACGAGAACTCCGTGACATCCTTCCACAAGGATCACTACGAGAACCTGTACGCTGTTGTGGCGGGGGAGAAGCACTTCACGCTGCTGCCACCCGTGGACGTCCACAGGCTCTACATCCGTGACTACCCCGCCGCAAGCTACGTGCCATCGCCGGTAAAATTCCTTGCTCGCTAGCTGATATATATATGCGTAACAGGCACAGCAGGAGGACGAGCGCAAGCTGGTGATGAGGAGCGATCGCCCGCGGAGAATGGTGCCGTGGGCGAGCGTGGATCCCGAGTGCCGCCATCAAGACAAGCACAAGTTTCCCAGGTACTTCAGCAGCGGAGGTGGCGAGCCGTTCCACTGCACAGTTGGAGCTGGAGAGATCCTTTATTTGTGAGCTCCTCCTCTCAAAACAAACTCCATTGAATGATCTAACTGCGCTGCTCGCGTGTGTGTGTGTGCGTGTGTGTGTAGGCCCAGTATGTGGTTCCACCATGTCACTCAGCGGCCCGACTCGGGAGGCAGGACAATCGCCATCAATTTCTGTAAGTCGTTTGTTAGCGCCGTGTCCCTCCTTTGCTTTTTCTTTATTTGGCTTGTTTTCTCTCTCCAGGGTACGACATGGCGTTCGATATCAGATACGCATACTTCAACTTCCTGGAATCCTGTGTCAACAAGAAGAAGAACACCACTATCGAGTGATATATATATATATATATATATATCACTATCACTCACAGGTACCTTTTACTCGTGTCTAGGGCTGATAGATCAAAGCGGAGTTTTAGGGCTTTGTAGTGGAGCTGGGAGGAATGCAGGCGGGAGAGGGCGCTCCAAGGCGCACAGGCGGCGGTGGGAGTCGCAGGAGAGTGGTGGTGAGCGATGACGACGATGGCGAGGGCGAATGCGTGAGTGGCAAGAGGAGTCGCAGGGCTGTCATTGATCCGGGGGACGAGGACGATGAGGAGGAGAGCGTGGCATTGAGGCCTAGAGCTGACGATGGCCTGGCGATCGGCCTGGAGGAGGACGATGCGTCCATCCGGCTTCTGCAGGGAAGGCCCCAGGATGTGATCAAGCACACGCTGGGGAAATGCGAGAGGATCACTGCCAAGCTCCGGAGTGCGCTAACCGAGGCCGCGAAGCTCGTCTCTCATGTAAGTTTATTTGCTCTCTTTCTTTCTTTCTTTCTTTCTTTCTTTCTTTGCTCGAGATTGATTCTTTCTACTCGCAGGCCGAGGTACAAGCAGCGTGCCAGATGGCTGGCTCCAACAAGGATCAAATGCTCTGCCCTTACCAAGTTGTGGGGGTTAACTTCCTTCTTTTGCTCTATCGCAAGCGTCTAGGCGGAGGTGAGCACCGCTTTTCCTAGTACCAGTGCTGCTTCTCATCCTTTTTGCCCATCGCAGCGATCCTTGCCGACGAGATGGGCCTAGGAAAGACTGTGCAGGTAAGTAGGCAACTTTGGTCTCCCGGAAATACGCCAAACGTGATCGTGCTTGCAGGCAATTGCGTTTCTGGCGCTTATAAAGCACCTGGATGGCGACGCTGGTCCGCATCTCATCGTCACTCCCGCTTCGGTCCTAGAGAACTGGCAGCGGGAGCTCGAAAAGTGGTGCCCTGCCTTCACTGTCATTCCATTCCATGGTAACGAGCGCAGTGCCTTCAAAGACGAGCTCCTGTCTGCGGCGAGGTCCGACAAGCCACCCCCGTTTCACGTGTTCTTGACCGGCTATTCTCTCTTCGAGCGAAAGAGGTAGGCGGATACTTGGCTTGCTTTCTCCCACCAGTTTTCCATTTCGCCAGTGCAGCGTCCAAGGATGATCGCAGCATGCTGAGGAAGTGGAAGTGGAGCTGTATTGTCATGGACGAAGCGCATCTTCTCAAAGATCGCACGAGCTACAGGAACAGGAACCTCAAGTCGCTAGCCCGGCGGGCTTGCCACCGCTTGATGATAACCGGGACCCCTTTGCAAAACGACCTCCAGGTGCGTTTGTGGATGTAACTTGCGCTGAGTCTCCGATTGTCTTTTTTCTCCCTCTCCAGGAGCTCTGGTCATTACTAGAATTCACAATGCCGGCCATCTTCACAAACTGCGAGTTCGATGCGATCCTGGACAACAGAAATGGGAGAAGGGTGTTGACTGCAGATAACATCGACCTTATCAAGCAGATCCAGGCCATACTTTCGCCATTTGTTTTACGTCGTGTGAAGGCCGCCGTGATGGATCAACTGACACCAAAACTTCAAAAGGTACGCGTACCTGATCCTATCTGGTGCAGTATTTCATCTTTTACGTTCTACCGTATGTCCAGGTGGAATCGGTTGACATGGTGGAAAGCCAAGATGTTGCATACAGGGAAGCGTTGGTGGAGTATCGACAGTCTTTTACGTCCTCGTGTCCCCAACGGCAGGTTTCGAGCATCTTCACGCAGCTTCGAAAGGTTTGGTTGAGTTTGTGTCCAAGTCAGGAGTGCGTGTGGCTTGCTGCAGCTGGCGAACCACCCGCTGCTCGTCCGACGAATCTACACGAATAATGACGTGGAGAAGCTGGCCAAGAGGTGCTTTCAGCATGGCATTTTTGGCAGTGAGTGTACACTGGAGCGCATCGTCGAGGAGCTCAGTAGTTACAATGACTATACGTTGCACAAGGTACCGACAAGCACCCATATAAAAATAAACTGTGTCTTGTGGTGTAGCTCTGCTGTACGCATGGGATGTTGGCGAGCCACTCCAAATTGCGTGACAAAGATGCCCTCGAATCTGCAAAATGCCAGGTGAAACCATGCCTTCTGTTATGTTTTGTGTGCCTAACGAGTTTGTTGTTGCAGCTCCTGGTGAAGCTTCTCCCTCACTTGCAGAGCGCAGGTCACCGGCCTTTGATATTCAGCCAGTGGACAGGAATGCTGGATATCCTCGAGTGGGTGCTCCAGGTTATGAATCTCAGCTACAGGCGTCTGGACGGGAGGTACGTACCAAAGCTCTGCGTTGCAGTGAATGATCCATGATGCTAGCTGTTTTTCTCCTTGCAGCACTCAAGTTTGTGAGCGACAGAGCCTGGTGGACGATTTCAACAAGGAGCTCGACATATTTGCGTTCCTGCTCTCTACTCGAGCTGGTGGCCAGGGTCTCAATCTCACGGGCGCGGATACTGTCATCATCCACGACGTGGATTTCAACCCGCAGATGGACCGCCAAGCCGAGGACCGGTGCCACCGAATTGGTCAGTCCAAGTCCGTGACAGTCTACAGGTATATGGTTTTATGGTGTGTTTGCAAGCTGCTTATGTTTTTCTTGGCTCAGGCTGGTGACCAAGTCGACGGTTGATGAGAACATATTTGGGATTGCGCAGCGCAAGCTCGTCTTGGATGCTGTTCTCGAGGGCGATGTGTCGTCGTCGTCGCCGTCCGCTGATGAAGACGAGAGAACAATGGGACAGATATTATCGATGATATTGAGTTGATCGCTTCTTAAAATGTGTATAGACCTCGGAGGATTATTTGGAGGAACACAAATGTGGTGCTCGGATTGACGCCGATATTATATGGCTTTGAGCCCTAAACCACGCACTTTGTAAAATTTATAATGAAAATTAAAAAAGATAAAAACAAACTTTTTGATTCGGAGTCAGGAGCCTGTTCCAACATCCACCGTGCGCGCACAGTATCAACTGGATCAGCCTGTTATCAGATTTTTGTACCCTTCATGCAACTATAGAAATGCACCGGTACCATATGAGACGCGACTCCAGCTTGGACCTTCAGCACTGAGCCAGAAATTTCTTAAACCATGATCCATCTAATGGATCTAGTCGATTTTATACACTAGAAATTAATGCTGTGTGGTTGACAAACCCCATAGCCCAACGCCTCTGAATCTCTCCTCGATTGCACTTGCAGGAACCAAAGTTACCATGGTCCAAATCTTGCGTCCCACCACTTCGTGTTTTCTCGCATGTCAAGCCTAATTTTTCAAGCTTGTGTTCTTCGAAGTCAAACTGCACCAGATGGCAGCTCCAGCACCTGGAAGAGAATATATTGAAACAAAGAAAAGTAGAAGCTTTACAATCACACCTTTGACATGGCTTAGAGAAGGCTAAGCCTGCATAGACTTGACCCGTGCCGCCAGCTCCCTTACCTGACTCCGCAGCCGATCAGGAGCACAGAAAAAGTTGACAAACACCTGCTTCTCCCTGCCAACCTCATGAGGGTGGTGTTTGACAATCTGCATGCAATGGATTAACGGTGAGACTTTCTAATCAGCCCGTACCTCTGCCTTCTCCCGGTGCTCGCGAGTCACTTCCTCTATTGCCAAGGAAAGCTGGGAATTCACCTTTTCCATGTCCGCCAGCTCTTTCATCAACGGCTGTTCGGCGGCGCAGCACGAAACTGAGTGTTAGTACGAGCAGAGCGGGCGGGTTTGCATACCCAAGGAGTTAGAATTGGTTGCGCAGTCGTCGATGACGCAAAGAGAAGCTGCTGCATTCTTCTGATGATGGTCAGGCTGCAACAAGCCGAGCAGTAGATTGAATATGGCACCTGTGATAGATTGTACTCACAGCTCGCTTATGCATTTCGCTTTGTCCTCAGTATTGTCAAGCTCCAGTTGTAGGGATTGCAACTCTGCCTGCAAGTTGTTCACCTGCTGGACTAGACCTGGAACTGACACGTAGATTGGAATGGCTCCCTGTTCATCTGTAAGCCAGGCATGAGTCTCTTTCGCGTTTGCGGCGCATCCTTACATGTATATATGTTCAAGAGGTCTCTAACGCGATGCAGAAAAGTGTCGCGATCATCCACAGCGCCATGCTCTTGTGCTTCGGCACCCGCTTGCGACAATGACAGACACCGATCCTGAGAAACCACAAAAACAAGGGCCCGTCAAACAGGTCAGGAAATGTCATGCGCCATCTCACAATGCGCCCGATGGTAGCCTGGGTGTACCCGTCGAGCTCTGACTCTATTGCCCTCAGCAGCTCAAATGCACCGTTCATAGATCTCCTCTCAAGATGGCAAGCGATCTCAAGGAAACGATGCCGAGCGAGTTGGCAGACCAAGTGGCTGATGAACTAGCAGGCACCCACCAAAATTCGTTAAAACAAGCGCGAGATCATCAACTTGAAAGCTCAACCCGTTTCTGTTGCGACATGTAGTACTCCTGCCGCATGACCTTGAGGTCATAGTCTCCTGAAAACACATTGCCAGCACTGTTAGCCGCAGATAAAAAGTGTAGGTGATCACCTTGTAAAATATACGTGTCTTGAAGTTGCGCGAGTTCCCAGCACAGTGAAGGAACAGCCTGCGGCACAACATGAGTTACACGCGGTCTGGAAAACTCAAAGACTTGCCTCAGAAAGCAGCTTGTCCTCCTTCAAAACAAGTGGATGCAGCTCGCTTCCTACATCTGCATTCCTCCGCCTTCACTACTAGACTCGTCAACCGACGCAGCTGGAATGGAGAATGCCGCCTACCTTAAGGAATGAAGATCTGAATGGACATACGCTTGATCGGCGGAAGCCTGCAACTTGACTGTCGCAAGCACTGCCAGCTGCTTCGCCTTTTCAACTTGAGCGTCAATCCACTGTCTCTCGCTTATGCCGAAACTGTCCTATTCCAGAAAGAACAAGACAAGCAGTTACAGCAGAGCTAGCACGTAAGAAGTGACAACGTGCGTACATGGAGCGCAGGCGCTGCAGTTCCAAAACTCGCCTATGGTGGCTCTTCTCGGAGTCTCCTGAACACGAGGAGAGCCAGTCAGTCTGGAGAAAGCAAATGTGCCGGCCGTGTTTACCTTGCGTTACCAAATCATCAAGTGTCACCCACGAACATTTAGACTTTCCTTCTTCGGCTACTAACCGGGAGGGACCCTGTGACACGCGAGCATCGTTAAACCGGCGTGGTGCTCATGCACAAACTGTGCCTTACCACATCAAACTGCTTCACAAACCACTCGTTGAGCTGTTTGGTACAGGCTTGATCTTGAACCAAGAAATGACCCAAGTCGGCAAACGAAAGAAAGATCCCTTGCTCTGCAGCCGCCAAAAATCCCGTGCAAACGTAAGAAAACATAGAAAGAACAAGCAAAGCACCTTCCCCCGAGTGATAGTGCGCAAGCTCTCTAGCGGACGAGGCAAGCTTGTCAAGGACGGTGTTCATCTGCGAGTGAATTGTGGATGCCTAGCCAGCAGAGAGAAGACGAGAGAGAAAGTTACCTCTAAGTTGCGACTAGCCAGCTTCTCCTCGGCGACCATCATCTGGTTGCCTGCGGCGGATGCGACAGCAACTCTGGCTCTTCGCCCTTGCATGAGCGACGACGTGTAGGCAGTGAGCGAGTCCATGTGTGCTTGCAGAAGCTGGACCCTCCGCTGCAATGCGGAAGCCTCTTCTTTGAGGCAGTGCGTGCCTTCCCTGGGGAAAGAAAGCCGAGGGAGTCAAGAAAGAGGAAGCTGGATGGATTACCGGATCTCCTTGAGGGACTCCTCAGCACCCAAGACGGCCTCCTGTGTTGATCTCTTGCTCTCAAACGCGGAGATGCTGCCGTAGGCAAAATCCAGGTCCTCGCCCTGGAGTCGCGCACGCTGGATGGATGGCACGAGAAAAGAAGCGCAAGCTCACCTGGAGAAGCTTTCCTTGGCTGAGCAGCTGGGTGTAGTGATGGAGCTCGGGCACAGTGAGCACATTGGAGGTTCGCAGATTGGTACACAGCCAGTCGAGGAGTGGCCTCGTCTCTTCGTACTGGAAGGGCCACTCGTAGCTGTCTGGATCCAGCATTTGCCAGGAATCATAGCCGAGATCGGCCAGGAGCGTGCACAGCCTCGCCCCGCTCATTGCCGCGCACGCAAAAGCCCTAACACTCCAAATTTTTTAGGTCATCCACCGTTACCCAGGATCGCTCGCCATGGGCAGCCATCCATCCAACAAGCTTGCCACCGATCAAGCCCACGTCTCTCCAAGTAGGAGCGCGCGCGCTCTCGTTCCCTCATTTCCAACTTTCCCACCTCTTTAATTCGCAGGGCTCGTCCTCAATGACTTTCTCTCTCCGAGGTCCAGCGTCTCAGCTCCTGCTCGAATGAATGCCTCGGTCTGCGATGGGTGAGTCGCCCCTGCGCATTCTCATTTTTCCACTTGATCTGTGTGTTTGTGTGACCATCAGTAAAAAGGCCTGGAAGGTGTCGAGGCCATTGCCGGTGAGAAGGAAAGAGTTGATGCAAGACAGCCTTCGCAGCCGGTTCATGGAGGACAAGGTAAGCTATACGGTCATAGAAAACCTCTCAACGTTACCAGTGCCACTTCAGGCACGGAAGCTCCAGGATGCCAATGACGCAGATGAGATTTGGACCTACCATCGCTGCAGGGACTTCGAAGCCAAGGTGAAGGAGGCCGCCATCGCGATTCCTATTTCCGACTGTGGTGGCTGACAACCAACTAGCTTGACTTTGTGAAGTGTAGGATCCTTTGGAACGGCGCCTGCTAGAGCAAGGCATCACTCCTGTTTACGATCCAGCGCACAGGGACGTTCCGTGCTTCAGGCAACTCGTGCCCGACATCCTGGACTTTCGAGTATTTCTCAATGCTCCGGGCCCCAAGAGCGGTGGCCACTTCCAGTGCCACATATACAGAAAGCACGAGCCTAACATGCTCTACTCAAGGTATTGCATCTACGCTCACTCTCTCCATATAACTTGTGCTGCTACCAGGTACAAGCTTTGCCTGGGCGAGAGGGACCGCTTTCTCTTGTCTGCCAGGAAGAGGAAAAAGAGCAGGACCAGCAACTATGCCATTTCTATAGACGAGAACGACATATCAAACAAGACAGGGAACTACTTTGGAAAGGTGGTGGAGCTCTTGTCCTCGCTCAGCTCATCTTGACAATGTGTCCTGTCTCGCAGCTACGTTCCAATTTTGTGAGGACCGAGTTTTTGGTTTATGACAAGGGCCAGCGCCCGTCATTTGAGCCTGGTAAATGGTTGGTCCTTGAGGCTTTCTAACACCTCGGCTGGCTGCTCGGGCTTTAACGCGCGCTGGGTAACTTGACAGTTTGTCGTCCAAGAGCGTGAGAGTGGAGGTTGGCGGCGTGATTTACCGGAGAAATGTGTTTGGAAGAGGGCGCGGGAGGATGACGGCCGTCATACCTGCATTGGCTGAGGACCTCAAGCCTTGTGTCTTCCAGCCGCTGACAAAGGGCTCAAGTACCATCCTTGACAGGTACAAGAGCGGTCGAGAGCTTGACAGGATGACGGTCTTGCACAACAAGTGCAACGTTGAAGAGCGCCACGGCCAGGCCTCGAAACGGAACTTTCAGGTTTGAGTGATTTTAATGTCTTATCTGCAGCTCTTCTTCTGTGGTGGCTCCAGCTGGTGGCAGAGAACGCGCGGAACTGCATTGCTCTCCAGTTCATAAAGGTGCTTTTATTATTGTAATTTCTCTTGGTGCGCAGCATGACAATGTCATGGCACCCAGGTTGACAAGAATATCTACACAATGGACTACAGATATCCAATATCAGCATTTCAGGTAACTCCTGAAGCGAATTAAACTACATCCCCTTAACAATAACAATGTGTATGCGTAGGCTTTTGCGTTGTGCTTGTCCAGCCTCGACCACAAATGATAGACGAGAGAAGAATCAAAGGCGAGAGATTTGCAAGGGTCGCATGTCCTCGGCCGCCATTGCAGGTTGGAAGAGCTCCAGGCACTTGCCGCGCTCAACGAGGCCCTTGCGACACTCTGACGCCGCGAGTGCCCCAGTGGCGAAGGCACCGTGCACAGTGCCGGGAAAGCTCGCGCTAGTGGCTTCGCCGGCAAAGAAGAGTGTGTCCACCGGAGCCCGCAGCTGCTCATACAGTTCGTGTTGCTTCCCAACCATGTCGTAGGTATAGCAACCCAGAGAATTGATGTCGGACCCCCAGCGTGATACCAGGAACTTGACCTGCAATGCACACCCGGGTTCCGTCAACCTTGACAAACCACGAGGAATGAAACTACTTACAGGTTTGGCGGCATTTGGAAGGATTTTCTGCAACAGGCCGAATGCAAAGCTCGCAGCTTCCATATCCGACAGCTTCTCAATATCGTCCGCGAGGCGGCCAGCGGGCATGTACACGAGGACGGGATGGCCCGTTGGCTTGTGCAGATTCAAAAAGTAGCTGCAGCTGTACGTTGTGGAAGCAACCACGCCCAGAAACTCCACATTCGGCCAAAACACCACGTCAAAGCATAAAGCAATCTTGTTCTCATTGCCAAGTCCAAGGCCGGCAAAAGCTTCTTCCTTCCAAGCCGGCAGTCGCGGCTCGAAACGGATGATTTTGGCCTTCAAAACACCCGCGGGAACAGCCACAACTGCAGCGTCCGCCTCAAACACTTGGGAATCCTCGGTAACAATCTTCACTCCTTGACTGTGTCGAATCACTTGAACGACTCTGTTGCATACCAAAACATAAGCAACCTGTGCGTGCGAATGGGGCTTAACTCACTCACCTATGGTTGAGCCGAATATCTATACCCTCCGCTAGATGTCGAACGACGGGGAAATACCCCCGGACCATGAGCCCGTGGCCCCCTTCAAGCAGCTCCTCCTGCGCACCAAAGTGTTCATAACTAAGCCCTCTGGGCCAACAAACAACATACCTCGTCCCAACATCGCACAGATATCTGGTCAGCGTCCGCTCCAAACCAGCCTTCTAGCCTACATAGATACCACTCGAGTACTTTCCTGGCCAGGCCTTCTTGTCTACAATGCAGTTGTTAGTAGTCTATCACACCAATTCAGAAAATCGCCACTACCTTAACTCTGGATGCCTTTCCAGCACGACCGAGAATGCCTTGGACACAGAGATGTCCTCGGGAAATTCTTCTCTAATCTTTTTGGTCTGAAACAAAAACACGTCAGTCGCAGAAGCTGCAAGTCCCAAAAACGCGTACCATCTCTAAAAGCGCTTCAAACGACTCGCCAACTCGAAAGACCAGCTCCGGTGGAACTTGGACCCCGTCCATATCAAACAGTGCATAGCTGGAGGAAAGGGAAAAGTTCAGTAAAGCTTGAGCAACGAAGCCAGCAACAAGATTTCAGGTTGGAGATATGGCGTAAGCAGGTGGAGATTTCACCTGTGAGAAATGGTGGTTACTCGGGCTTGCTGCTAACCATAGCCACCAGCCACCATGCTCATGAGAATGCACCTACAGATGCAGCCTAAACACACACAAAGCAACGTGCCTTTCCAAGTCATGGTCATAGAGAACAGAGTTATCGCCGCTGGTGCGGTAAAGAGGCAGGCCCAAGCGCCCAATCACGGACGCCAGAGGATTGTCTTCGCTCACGCCGTGTAGCCTGCAAACACGCAAAGGCAAGTTAAAATATCCGGGGCAAGAGATTGCTAGCGTTTACCAGGACGCGCCCATGTCAACTGGGAAACCGAACGAATAGTCGGTGTGAACTCGGCCTCCAATCCGGCCACGCGATTCCAGAACCGTGACCTGCCAGCCCCCCCATTGAGCTCGGTGCTCTTGATTGACATATAGGAAACCGACACCATACCTTAAACGAAGCCTTGTGCAGGGCCCTTGCGGCTGCGAGACCCGCGACTCCAGCCCCAACAACAATCACAGACGGCGGACCATCATGGACGTGGCCTGCGCAGTCTCCAAGCGTAAGCAAGACTGATCCGGGAAAGCGATGACACATACCTCCTTTGTTTTGCGATGCTGGAGCCATATAGCAGTGCAAGGATCTGGCAGATGGACGAATCTAAGACACGGGCGCGCTGCCCTGTATTAACGGCTTGACTATCAAACACAAGTGAAGATACTTGAAAGGAAAGACGAGGAAGAGGAACATAAAGAAGACAGGATTGAAAGGAGTCATGCGGCAGGCGGCGCGCATCAAGCAGCAGCAGGCATACACACGCGCTCCCTCTCTCTCTCTCTCTCTCCGCCTCCTGGAGATTTACCACCAGCAGCCCTAAACCCCCTTTTGTAGGCACCCGTTAGCTGTCCACGTGTCAGTCGGCGGGTGGACACGTCGACACCGTGTTGGAGCAACAAAGCCCTCGTCATGAAAATGCAAAGCTAGCTATAGGGCGCATCAAGTTCCTTACCTTTGCAAGCAACTATGATAAGAGAGGTCTTGTCTTCTGGAAGATGATGGAATGGAACCAAGGGTAGGTAGAATTTAAATAGTGGAATTGCCTTTATCCACATCATGTGGCAATTTTGTCAAATTTGGGGCTAGACTCGTTGGTAGTGGATCGTTACAGCTATGGAGGAATCGTCGTCGGACCAGCACATATCGGGCCTCGCCGTGCTCGACTACATTGGGTTCAAGCTCACGTCCGCGACACCCGAGGGCGTCCACGGCACCTTCGTCGTCTCCCGCAACTCGTGCCAGGTGAGCCACCGTCGTGAATCCATACTCACGCAGGCAGAGCGTTGTTGATCAGCCGTTTGGCGTGCTGCACGGCGGCGTCTCGGCCTTCATTGCCGAGGCCGTGGCGAGCATGGGTGCCCAGATTGCTTCCAAGTGGGAGCGCGTCGCGGGAATCGAGCTCAACATCAACCACCTGCGGGCGGTACCCCTGGGCCACCGGGTGACCGTCGACGCACTACCCCTTCTCGTCGGACGCCGGATACAGGTGTGACACAAACCAACCAAATTTTCCTTTCTTTGCCTGCGTGATCATCATCATCATCTGTTCTGTATAACACTATGCCCAGGTCTGGGAGGTAAAACTATGGGCGCCACCGGCTTCTTCTTCTTCTTCTCCTTCGGATTCTTCTTCTGATCCTTCCTCCACCAATTCCTCAGTCATTGCGGTTTCCAGAGTGACGCTTGTGGTCGGTCTCCCAAACGCTTCCAAAGGGGCTCACTTCAAGGACGTTGTGGCGGCCAGAGCCAAGCTGTGAAGAAGCTATGCCCAACTAGGCATAGAATGTCGATAGTGACGACAACAATGACGAACGAAAACGCTTATAGTTACCTCCAGGGGCTAAACGTCGTCTTGGACGTGGTACATGGATTTGAGCTTGGCCACGCTTGCATCCTCACTCTCCAGGCTGTGCAACATCTTGAAGTAGCTGCTCATCTGCTTGCCCTGCGCCTCAGCCAGTGCCTCCTCCGCCTCTGCGTGAAGCTGCTGGCTTTCTCCTGAGACCATCAAACAAGAACCAAGAGATTCCAGACCTTGCAAAGAGTGTCCATCTCCCGCTTGTGCTTGTCATGCAGCCGCTTGAGCTGCGCAAGCTCCGGCGATCTCACCACCCTCATCTGCGTCTCCCTGCCACGCCTCGGCTGCTGCTTACAGCTGAAATGCCCGCTGCCATGCACGGCGGTCACGGGCCTGGGCGTGCCAGCGATCATCACCAGGAACTTGTGCAGGTGCGTCACCACGTTGTCGGCATCGGCCGCGCTGCCCATGGTCACCAGTGCGCGCCCAATCCCCAGCTGCTGCTTGGGATCAACGGGGTTCTTGACAAGCTCTACCGCCCGGACGTCTCCAAACTGCCGCAGCGCCGCCTCCACCGCAGCGGCGCTCACGGCGGGGGCCAGGCCCTCCACAACAACGACATGCCGCCGCGGATCATCGTCCCCTCCCGCGCGCGTCGCGGCAGAAGAACACATGATCATGAACGGGCATAAACCCTAGCCCGGGAAACTAGGGCTTTTGGGAGCAAGATGAAGCCACCGGCTATCCTGTCGTGCCTGTCCAACCATTGCATCCTCCAGCCCAGCTCCGACGACGACGCCGCTGCTGGTGATGCTGCTGGTGATGCTGCTGCTGCTCCTCCTCTCCCCGCGCCACTCCAAGTGCCCGCTAACGAGGTAACAGGTTCTACATTCTCATATGCGGAGTGGCATTCTCATCGCCACGGGCTCCTTTGCAGTGCGCGGGCTGCCCCAAACAGATCAAGTTCGACTCGGTGCCTCTCCATGGCGGCTTCACGCTTCTCAGGGTCAGTCCCCCTTTGTTCCTCGTTGTGATCTCAGCCAGCGCGCCATGCAAACACAGGGCCGAATCAATGCGTCTGAAATACTTGGCATCTCCAACTCGGACCTCGTGCCTGGGAAATACGAAGGTGTGTGTGTGTGTGTGTCAAGTGGCCCATTTTTCTTTTCTCATTCATCACTCCTCCTGAAGGTGGCTTTAAGCTGTGGGAATGCGCCATCGATCTCGTGGACACTTTGAGGCGCGAGATTCAAGACGGGCAACTCTCATTCCGGGGCAAGCGCGTTCTGGAAGTACGTACGATATTGTCTACTGCCTGCCTGTTCTAGAGTAAGGAAAATTGGCTTTGTCTCAGGTCGGGTGTGGCCATGGTCTTCCGGGAATCTTGGCGTGCATCAAGGTCAGCTCGGGTCTAGCTCGGGTCTAGCTCGTCATTTGAAGCAACCGGTGGTGAACTTTGCTCGTGTTTTGGTGGCAGGGCGCTTCTGTTGTCCACTTTCAAGATTTCAACGCCGAGGTGTTGAAGTGCTTGACGATCCCAAACGTGCATGCCAACCTCGATTACGCTCGTGCTCGGCTGTCCCAGTCCACTGATGCGCTCACGCCCACCAGGTCAACGGTGATTGCTCCCGAAGTCCAGTACTTTGCTGGAGACTGGGACAACGTTGGCTGCCTGCTCTCCACGGTCAAATCAAGTGCGGACGATCGAGACACCACCGACGGTAGCAGTGCGGTCACGGATGCCTCGGAGCCGGAGATGATTCGGAGTGAGAGCCAAACGGAGCTCAGCAAGAGTAGAAAGCGGTCCGGAAGCCGGGCTTGTGACAGCAGGAGGGAAGAGAGCGTGGACGAGGGCGGCTACGACGTTGTTCTCATGTCGGAGACCATATACTCGGTGTCTTCGTTTCCCAAGCTCTATGCTTTGATGGCTAAGGTATGCACCGCACCGCACCGCACCGTCTTTCTTTACACAAGGAAAAAAATCTGGCTTTGCTTGCTCAGTGCCTGCGGCCATATTATGGAGTGGCATATGTTGCCGGCAAGAAGCACTACTTCGGCGTGGGCGGTGGAACTCGACTATTTAAGCATATGGTCGAGGAGCAAGGTTTGTATCTCGTTTGCTAACAGAAAGAATAACACTCGGTTTCGTGACCCAGGTGTCCTGGGAGCTCATCTCGTTGCCGAGTTTGCGGATGGCTCGTCGAATGTAAGAGAGATATGGAAATTCTTCTTCAAGCAATAAGAAACAAGGATGAATGCTTGTGGCGGCTTGGGCTTGGACCGGAGAGGCTACATCCATGCGATGAAGTCGTGCCGGAGTTTGTCAGTGGCGGAGAGCATTCATTCCCAGGTCCAGCACCTTCTCCATGCCGACGTGCAAATGTCCAACATGCTGCTTCACATGTATGCCAACTGCGGGAGCGTGGAGCGTGCGCGTGCCGTGTTCGATGGGATCGCGCCCCGGGCCAGGAATCTCTTCTCCTGGGTGCTCATGCTGTCCGCGTATGCCCGAAGTGGGCATACGCGTCAGGCGCGCCAGGTGTTTGAAGCCATGCCCGAGCACGACCTCGTGTCCTGGACAAGCATCCTGGATGCTTACGGCCGGGAGGGGATGCTGGGCGAAGCATGGCAAGTGTTTTGCAGCATGCGCCAGAGGGACCTCGTCTCCTGGGCAGCGATGCTGGCGGCCTTTGTAGCAAATGGGAGGCTCGATTGCGCCAAGCGTATCTTTGACGCGATGCCGGAGAGGAACCTCGTGTCGTGGACGTCTATGCTGTCAGCGTATGCTCAAAGGCGGCATCTGTACAAGGCCAAGCGAATGTTTGATGGGATGCCCGAGAGGGACTTGGTGTGCTGGACGGCGATGCTGGTGGCCTATGCACAAAACGCAGTCGTTGAGCAGGCCAAAGCCGTGTTTGATGCAATGCCGGAATGGGAGCTAGTGTGCTGGAACGCAATGCTGGCGGCGAATGCTCAAAACGGGCGTGTGAGCGACGCAGTGGCCCTGTTCGCCTCCATGCCTGAAAAGAACCTGTGCTCTTGGAACACACGCCTGTCCCTGGAAGCGGACAGTGGTAGCATGGATCGGGCCAAGCAACTGTTCTTGCATGAGATGCCTGAGTGGAACGTGGTGACCATGAACGCGATGGTTACGGCGTATGGTCAGAACGGGCACCTTGTCGAGGCTCGGCGTGTGTTTGATGCCATAGGAAAGGAGAGGGATGTCATCTCTTGGAATGCCATGCTCACCGCTTACGCCCAACACGGTGGTGGCATGGAGGAGGCAAAGCTCGTGTTTGACAGCATGCCGGAGCACAACCTCGTCTCCTGGAATGTCATGCTGTGCTGCTACGGACAGCACGGACACGTCGGGCAGGCCAAGCGGATGTTCAGCGTGCTGCAGGAGCTTGAGCAGTGTGACCTCGTCTCTTGCAACAGCATGCTGTCGGCCTATGCGAGCTGCGGGGAGCTGGAGCAAGCCCAGCTCATGTTCGATTCGATGCAGGAGAGGGACCTCTTCTCGTGGAACATACTCCTATCGGCTTATGCGGCGGCGGGGCGCACGGTGCAAGCCAGGCAAGTGTTCGGGCGCATGCCAGAGCGAGCCGTCGTGTCGTGGAATGCGGTGCTGGCGGCGTATGCGCAGCGCGGTACCGCCGGCAGTGCGAGTGAGGCGCTGGAGGTGCTCCACGGCATGCTGCTGGTGGAGATGCCCGACGAAGTCACCCTCGTGTGCGCGCTGCTGGCGTGCAGCCGCCTTGGCCAACTCGCCACCGGGCTGCACTTGTTCAGATCCATGGCCAGCGACTTGCAGCTGCTGCATGCCACACAAAAGCACTACGGCTGCATGGTGGACGTGCTGAGCCGTGCTGGCCATGCGGAGGCGGCCCGCGATCTGGTGGCGGCGATGCCGTTTGTGCCCACTGCCCAGGAGTGGAGGTGCCTGCTCATGAACAGCAGCAGCGGCTCCAAGCTTGCGGCCAGCCGCGTGTTTGCGTTGGAGCCCAACGACTGTGCGGGCTACGTGCTGCTGGCCAACACCCGGAGCATGCCGCAAGCTGGGGCATTGGTTTCAACGGTGGGAATATGCCAGGGGGCATCTTCGGCCACGTAGGACGTACATGGGTCATTCATTATCGCCAGCGCTTGTGGAGAGGTAGAGGAGGGAGCGGCGCTGCTCTATCCAGGGCTTGCGCGTGCTGGAGGATCACAAATGCGCAATGCAATTGAGGTGGTAACAGTAGTAGTAGTCGATGCGCAGCTAGACTTTTAGTGGCAACGAGAGGGTGCTCGAATGGCTAGCAGCATGCCATCGACCGTGATGATTTCGAGCAGGATGGATTCGATCTGCAGGCCGTGCCTTGCTGCCAAGTCGGGCCTTCGCTATTGTAGGCCAAGAGCAGCAGCAGCAACAGCTCAGTTCTCGTCCACCAACAAGCTCAAGCTTGAGCCACTGCTCATCGGCGGAGTGATTAGTAGGCAGCAGCCCCGGGCATCATTCAAGGCAGAGACGTATGAAGCCAACCAAGGCGAGACGGCGCCGCCAAGTAGCGCCGAGCCAGCGGCTCCCATGAACAGGCTCAAGATTGGGATCTACTTCGTGACATGGTGGTCCCTCAACGTTGTATTCAACATCTACAACAAGAAAGTCTTGAACGCTTACCCCTTCCCATGGCTCACGTCCACGCTTTCCTTGCTCACTGGCTCCACGCTCATGTTTCTGTCATGGGCAACAGGACTCGTCGCTCCACCCGACACAGATGTGGAATTCTGGAAATCGCTCTTCCCGGTAAGCTCTCGCTCATGCTTAGCTAAACGAGAAATAACAATCTCTATTGTGTGCTCCTGTACAGGTAGCTTTGGCCCATACCATTGGTCACGTAGCAGCGACGGTGAGCATGTCCAAGGTGGCTGTCTCCTTCACGCACATTATCAAGAGCTCGGAACCGGCATTTAGCGTGGTGATCCAACGCCTTTTTCTGGGAGAGCACTTCTCCCTCCCCGTCTACCTCTCGCTGATACCGATCGTAGGTGGCTGCGGTCTTGCGGCTCTCACAGAGCTCAACTTCAACATGACTGGTACGCATATGAGCTTAGTGATTGAGCCGATCCGAGTTTCACGTCTTTCTTTCAGGATTTGTGGGGGCGATGGTGTCCAACATTGCCTTCGTGTTTAGGAACATCTTCTCCAAGAAAGGAATGAAGGCTGGCAAGGCAGTCGGAGGCCTAAACTACTACGCCTGCCTCAGCATCATGTCGCTGGTCCTCCTCACGCCGTTTGCACTCGTAGTGGAGCCACCACAGCAGTGGATCTCTGGGTGGAATGTTGCCGTCCAAAACGTTGGTCCTCAACTCTTCTGGTACGTATATTAGGCAGCGAGCGGTGACGCATCTCAACTCGTCTCACTAATGCAGGTGGGTCATGGCCCAGAGCGTGTTCTATCACCTCTACAACCAAGTCTCATACATGTCCTTGGATGAAATATCTCCTCTCACATTCAGCATTGGGAACACCATGAAGCGAGTCTCGGTCATTGTATCCTCCATAATCATCTTCCGGACACCGATCCAGCCCATCAATGCCGTAGGAGCTGCCATTGCCGTGCTGGGAACGTTTTTCTACTCGCAGGTACAGCATACGCTAGCTATTTAACTCAAGTCGTGACACCTTTTTGCTTACTCGCAGGCAAAGCAGTGATCAAACATGTATGCTTATTCAAAGTGTCAATTATGTACACAGGCGCAATTTACATGTCTATAAAACCTCAACCTTTCAAAGAGTACTTCCTGCCAGTAAAGGCTTGAAACTTTGCTTCCTTGGGAGCTTCTTCTTTCTCCTCACTGGGCTTCTCGGGTGGCTGTCACAAAGAGATAGATTACACACCAGGGATGTAACAACAACGAGTGTGGTCTCTACCTTTGGAGTTGCGTCAGCAGCATTTGCCGTTGCTGGCCCAAACACAAGCTTTCCATGCGGTCTTTGTGCGGGATCCGGAGCAGGAGGAACTACCTTAGGCTTTGGTGCGGAAACAGCCGGAGCCTCTTGTGTGGAAGGCACAGGCCACGCCTTTGGTGCCTTCCCATCTAGTCTCCTTCCAACACCCGTAAACGCGTTAAACTTGGGCTCCTCGGCCGCCTCAGCTTCTCCGTCAGCTGCTGCACGAATCACACACACTAGTTGTCTAGACGGTAAAGGCATGGACAGATTTGTCACCTGTGGCGGCCGCAGGCGGCTGCTGTGGTGGCGCCGCCCTCTCTGGCTCTTTGTAGTCGAGTGGCGGAGCAAAGTCAACCTCGCAGTCCGTTTCGATGATTGAGATTGCTGGTGCAGGCTTGGCTTCCACAATATCAATGTAGTACTTCTTGTTGTTGTACGCCACCATGATGTTGTCACCCACAGTGAGGCACGAGAAATTCCTCAGCGTGGTTTCTAATCTGCAAAGCAAGAAAAAACGGAATTTGGAGAGCTGTTAGCAGAGTAAGTACAAGGCTGGTGGCACCTCACTTACACAGCCTTGGGGTTGGAAATGTCAAGAAAGTCCTTGGTGTGAGGCTGCAACTTGACATAGCTGCCCTTGGGGAGCGTCGCGCTTTTCACTCTCACAAGGTCGCCCTCTTGAAGCAAGAGGTTTTGCATCATCTAGGAAGCGCCGTGTCAGCCACTTGGGGTGAAAACGATGCTGGTCTAGCTACACTCACCCAGTAAGGCATGATGATGATTCCTTCGTCGGCCACGAACTCGAGAACTCCGCAGTGTGATGTCCGCGACGTGGCGGGATTGTGCACCTCAAAGAGCATGGGATAGTCGATCCGTAACGACGCCAGGCGGTCCAGGGCGGACGGAGGCATGATCACTTTGTCGCCGTTCTCCAGATGAGGCTGGCAAGGAGAAGCGCACGTCGCAAAACCGGGTGGAGCGAGAGAGAGAGAGAGAGAGAGAAGAGTCTCTTACCTTGTCGATGAAGGAGGCGGAATAGCAGCGATAATTCTGCTCAAACGGCAAGGCCGAGAAATTGATGCCATATCCCCCGAAGTACTGCGGCATCACAAAGCACTGGTTTTCAGCTTGGTGTTGCTAGCAAAGAAGCCGCCGCGCTCACCATGGCTGTGGATCTCTGTTGCTCCGCGCGAAAACCCTAAGCCTTGCCCTAATCCGCTGGAATGATGTGGCTTTAAATCGCGTTCACGTGGCAGCTCCACCAGCCGCTGGATCTGGAAATTTGGGAATTCCCTGTCTCTCGACACACACACACACACCCACTGCACATGGTTTTTTTTTCTTCGTCCCCCGGTTGGACCAACTTTGCTTGCAAGCAACTGTTGTCTCCGAGTTTAATCTGCTGTGTCAGAGTAAAAGATTGATATATAATATCATGTGGTGATCTCGACATGGTACTTCATTCGAATGCCCCGGCCCGCTTGCGAGCGATCATCGCAAGATTTCAAGAGAATGCGGCCCCAAGCCTTCCTCTTGCTGCTCATGGCCATGGCTGCCGCAGCCTTCTCCGGAGGGAGCAGCGCGAAGACCCTTCACATTGGCTTCCTGTCGTCGGAGCCGGACTGGGCAATTCCGGAATCTCTCTCGCTCGAATGGTCGGTATCCGCCTTTAACTTAGATGATATATACAGAGGTAGATGTAATCACAGTCCTCCTCACTCCGCCCATCTGAAACCAATAGGCAATCCGCGTTCCAAGTCGCAGTGCAGGTCCTCAACAGCGAGGCCAGGGATTCCGCACTGAGATTGGAGGGCGTTTGGGAGCGGTGTGGGTGCGACTGGACATCGGCCCAGAACGCGGCGGCACGGCTGGTTGAGGAATCGCGGAGCAAAGGGGGGCCGGGCGCGCTGCTTGGGGTCGTCGGCCCCGCCTGCAGCCAAGCAGCCGCTGCAGCAGCCAAGGTGTTGCAAGAGCATCAGATCCCGCTCGTCTCATTTGCGGCCACAGCTGCTCGCCTCTCCAACAGGGACCTATATCCAAACCTTTTCAGAACAGTGTAAGCACTTCAGAACCCAGTGTGACACCCATTCACGATTGTGCGTGGATCTTCACCTACAGGTACAGTGACGACCATCAAGCCTCCTCCATCGCCGCAATGGTAACAATCATGCATGCATATGGTGATACGCACTCCATGTAATAAATGGTGGGTGGCAAACAGGTGAACCAGTTGCAAGCGACAAACGTCACGATCGTCTACACCAACGACGCATACAGCTTGCCCCTGGCCCAACAAATACGCGTAAGTAACGAGTGATTGCAATTTATATTCTTGCATGCACAGTCTCTGTGCGACGGAAACGTCTTCAGGATGGAGCTGCTGGAGATGGGAGTGAACGCCACCTTGAACTCGAGGCAAATCGACGGCATGTTCAACGCGATTGAGCCTTACACCTTCCTCGTCTTGGCACTCCAACCATCGGTAGCCACGCAAATGTGGGAGCTGGTGCTTAAGCTGGTGCGTTTCTGTATAATTATGGTTTCCGATGCCAATTACACAAGCCAGAGCAGGGCAAGGCGTCTTATCCTTGGTGGTATTTGGGCAGCGATGGCGTCACCGCAGTGGATATAACACAAGAAGGTACTAATATACTCTGACTGTACGTACACCAACTGTAGATTGAATCTAATCGAGAATCCCTGCTCAAAGGGAGTGGTCGGCTGGAAGGAGAGATTGGCATTGCACCATATGGTATGCAGTCAGCGCCATAGCTTTTGCCAAGCATGAATTCATTGAATGCGTTTTGCAGGTGGTGACCCGTCGGACGAGCTAGTGTGCCAGAAGTTTTACGAGCACTGGAGCGAGCGTCAGCAAGAGTATCCAGGCTTTGCATCGAACCGGAGCACCTCGTACGTGCCTTACTTGATCGACGCGGTCACGTCTCTGTTCGAGGCTGCGAATCAAGCATCCGCACAAGGCATTGCAGCGGTAAACGCCAGCAGTGTGCTGGCGGCGCTGAGATCAGGGAGAGCGCACAAGGGATGCACCGGGAGCGTTGAATTCGATCCCGATACTGGCTCCAGGCTTGTCACGTCGTCTGCGACAGTCTACGAGCTCGTCTCCTACGCTGGCAGCACCTGGCAGGCATGGAGGAGCTCTACTAGAGTTTGCCTGATTGCTTCTCTTGTGGTTTTGTGCAGTTGAAAGGAAGGATTGTGAACGGGCGCTTGTCAAGCTTGCAGCCGGTGACAAGGCCGGGCACGTTTCCAGCCAACAGCAGCGCTGCCGAGGTATGTGTACCCCTCGATCGATATGGAGTGAAAACCTTGTACTCGCTCCCAGGTGTACTACGTTGGTGGCGAGGACAAAGGCCGCAAGAACAGCAAAGTGAACGCGGCGCTGGTGGCGGCCATTCTAGTCTTGTGCACAGCCTTCATCGTCGTCTCGGTGTCGCTCGTGTGCTACCACAAGCTACGTCACAATTCGCCACTCACATTCTTCCGGATGCAGCACTGACTAGGCTTAGATCGTGTACCGAAAAATGCAAATGGATCTTGAGTTAAAAATAAAAGTGTTCTCGATTAGGGCACGGAGCTCCAGATCGGAGTTGTAGGGGCCCGGGGGAGCGCAGTCCGCGTCTAGGGCTGCCAGTGGTGGGAGCGATGAGGATGCATTCCCTGCCGGCGTGGCTGCTGCTGGCGTGCCTGCTGCAGCTCGCCCTAGCTTCCGAATACGATCACAAGGTGAAGATTTCTTGCCCATTTCTCTTTCTCGCTTTGCCGGATCGGGGGACTCACGCGTGCTGTGGCGGTGCGTGCTTGCTTGCTTGGGCAGTACGACATTGGCGACGCTGTTGTGCTGTGGGTGAACAAGGTCGGCCCCTACAACAATCCCCAGGAGACTTACAACTACTACAGCCTGCCCTTCTGCCAGCCCGGAAATGCCAATCCCGCACACAAGTGGGGGGGATTGGGAGCGGTGCTGGAAGGGAACGAGCTCATCGACAGCCAGATCGACATCAAGTTCAAGAGTAAGTCAATGCCTTCGCTCTGCCGGCGCAGGCACTCACAGCGCACATCGTGTTGCAGAGTCTGTTGACAAGGTTACGATATGCAAGCTGGATCTGAATCAGAGAAAAGCCATGGAATTCAGAGCGGCCATCGAGGAAACATACTGGTTCGAGTTCTTTATGGGTAAGCCATTCTTCCTTTCTTTGAAAACTCTCTAACCGGCGCCTTTTTTCCAACCAGACGACTTGCCGCTGTGGGGTACGTCTTTCTCCATTTCTCTTTTGCGTCCAGTAGATTCATAGTCCCCGCAGGATTTGTTGGTGAGTACCACCACGGCAAGGCGGAGGAGCAGAATGTAGCCATTTACACTCACAAGCACCTCGTTATCAAGTACAACAAAAACCAGGTGCTTACTCTCTTTTCCTCTCTCTGTGATGCTGATTATGTTTTCCGCTATGTAGATCATCCAAGTCAACCTTACGCAAGATGGTCTGCAGCCACTTTCGCCTGGCAAATCCCTGGAGTTTACATACTCCGTGAAATGGATCGAGACAAACACGAGTTTCCACAAGAGATTTGATGCCTACCTGGACTATCCATTCTTTGAGCATCAGGTTTGTTGTCGTCTGTCTTTGTACAAGTTTAAACTCCTGCTTGTGGTATCTTCGTGCAGATTCACTGGTTTTCGCTCTTCAACTCGTTCATGATGGTCATATTTCTGACTGGCCTGGTGTCTATGATACTCATGAGAACGCTGAAAAATGACTATGCGAAGTATGCCCGCGAGGAAGATGATCTCGAGACTCTGGTACGTTTATGTTGCGCATTGCAGTGGCTGAAAGAACTTTTCCAGGAAAGGGACGTGAGTGAAGAGTCTGGATGGAAGCTTGTCCACGGTGATGTCTTCAGACCGCCACGCTATCTTGTTTTGCTGTCTTCGCTTGTTGGTACCGGTGCTCAACTGGCTGCGCTAGTCTTTCTGGTGATCTTGCTGGCCATCGTCGGGATGCTTTATGTTGGGTAAGTATCTGTCACGCTGCGGCCGAGGTGCTCATCGCTCGCCTCGCCCTTTGTTGATGCAGGCGGGGAGCAATAGTGACAACCTTCATTGTATGCTACGCTCTTACGTCATTCATCTCCGGTTATGTTAGTGGCGGGTTTTACTCGCGAAACGATGGTAGGTAATGCTTCTACCTGTGGTGCTAACAATCCCTTACACGCTTTGGAGCAGGCAAGCACTGGATCAAGTCCATGCTGCTAACGGCCTCGTTGTTTCCTTTCATCTGCTTTGGCATCGGTTTTGTTCTCAACTTTGTCGCAATTTTCTATCGCTCGTTGGCCGCCATTCCCTTCGGTACCATGGTACGTTGCAGAGATGATTTTTCTTTTCTCTCCTGAACTTTTATTTTACAGGTCGTTGTTTTTGTCATCTGGGCATTCATTTCATTTCCCCTGGCTCTTCTTGGGACTGTTGTGGGGCGAAACTGGAACGGGACGCCTGATAACCCCTGCAGGGTGAAGACCATCCCTCGTCCGATACCGGAGAAGAAATGGTATCTCAAGCCATCCATCGTGGCGCTTATGGGAGGCTTACTCCCATTCGGGAGCATCTTCATAGAGATGTATTTCGTGTTCACGTCCTTTTGGAACTACAAGGTAACCCGGTCGAGCCCAGTTTTTTCAGTCTGCTGATCTGAGTCCGTGGTGCATGGCAGGTCTACTACGTCTATGGTTTCATGCTGCTCGTGTTTCTGATCCTCCTCATTGTCACGGTCTGTGTGACCATCGTGGGCACGTACTTCCTGCTAAATGCGGAGAACTACCACTGGCAATGGACGTCCTTCTTCTCAGCTGCATCCACGGCCGCGTACGTGTACCTCTACTCGGTTTACTACTACTTCATGAAGACCAAGATGTCCGGGTTTTTCCAAACGAGTTTCTACTTCGGCTACACTCTGATGCTCTGCGTTGGACTGGGGAGCCTCTGTGGTGAGTACCATACACTCCGATTGTTTTCTTGGTCGGATGGATTGATGACTTTGATGGTTTTGATGCGCAGGTGCGGTGGGCTACTTGGGCTCGAGCGTGTTTGTTCGGAGGATCTATAGGAACATTAAGTGCGACTAAATCACCATTTCCCACATCCATTTGTTGCTGACAGTTGTTTGTGTCCTAGTACGTAACTATCATCCGGCAAAGACGTGTCTAGTTTAGTCAACGGAGTCAACCAACTTCACCCAGCCATTTGGAATCTTATGTTTAGTGTAGTCAACGGAGTCGCATTTGGAGTGGCCAAAGCCCTAAACCAAAGAGAATCAGGGCTTTGTATTTGCTAGCTAGCGAGGATGCAGGCCTCTCTAGCTTGTGCCGCCAAGATCGGCGCTGGATCTCCGTGTAGCACCAGGTGGGGCGGCGTCGGGAGCACCAGATCCGCTGCTGCTACTGCGTTGAGGCTCCCTCCGCTCGCAGCCGCGCTTCCAGTGAGTGGTGGAACTAGGACTAGTAGCAGCAGTAGCAAGCTCTTCCTGGGATGGGAAGGAGCGATCCAGCAGCAGCCATCGCAGCAGGCACGGAGCAAGCGGATCGTGCGAGCCGAGGCGTACGAAGCTGATGCTGATCACGAGCCGGCTGCCAAGGCTCCTCCCCAGCTCAACCGGCTCAAGATCGGGATCTACTTCGTGACGTGGTGGGCGCTCAACGTCGTCTTCAACATCTACAACAAGAAGGTGCTCAATGCCTACCCCTACCCGTGGCTCACCTCCACGCTCTCCCTGGCCGCTGGCTCTGCGCTCATGCTCGCGTCCTGGGCCACCGGCCTCGTCGCCCCTCCCGACACGGACCTCGCCTTTTGGAAGGCGCTCCTACCGGTAAGTCCTCCACCTGCGAGCTCTTGACTTTCCGCTAAAACCACGAACAGGTTGCGCTGGCTCATACCATTGGTCACGTTGCCGCCACGGTGAGCATGTCCAAGGTTGCCGTCTCCTTCACTCACATCATCAAGAGCGCGGAGCCAGCCTTCAGTGTTGTGATCCAGCGTCTCTTCCTGGGAGAGACCTTCCCCCTCTCCGTCTACCTCTCGCTTGTGCCCATCATCGGTGGCTGCGGCCTTGCCGCACTCACGGAGCTCAACTTCAACATGACGGGTAACTTACGTGGTCCAACACACTGTTGTTACTGACTGCTTCTCGTCTCGGGCCAGGCTTCATGGGGGCGATGATCTCCAACGTTGCGTTCGTGTTTAGAAACATCTTCTCCAAGAAGGGAATGAAGGCTGGCAAGGCAGTCGGAGGCCTAAACTACTACGCTTGCCTCAGCATTATGTCGCTGCTGCTCCTCACGCCCTTCGCCATCGCCATGGAGGGGCCTCAGCTGTGGGTGTCGGGGTGGCAGAACGCCGTGCACAACGTCGGGCCGCACTTCATCTGGTATGCTTTGCCTCCTCCTCTCTGCGTGACCCTGACTCTCCGTTTGCAAATGACTCGCAGGTGGGTTGTGGCCCAGAGCGTCTTCTACCACCTCTACAATCAGGTGTCATACATGTCCCTGGATGAGATCTCGCCCCTCACCTTCAGCATTGGGAACACGATGAAGAGAGTCAGCGTCATTGTCTCGTCTATAATCATCTTCCGCACGCCTGTTCAACTCATCAATGGCGTCGGAGCCGCCATCGCCATTCTTGGGACGTTCCTCTACTCACAGGTAATGCCTACTACTACACATCACCATAACCATCTCTTGTTTTTGTTCTTGTTGTGCCGCAGGCAAAGCACTGAGCCACCATAGCTTCCTTTCATACAAATAAGTGGCACCAATTTTCCGTATATAATATATAAACACTGTTCGGTTCAATCATATATGTTATTCTCTCTTAAGTGGATCCCTCAAAGCATATCGTGGAAGCGAGCGAAAGACTTCTTCTGGATGATAGCTCTGTAGGAATCACCAGGCTGGACTTCAAACCGGCTCCTTTGGCTGCCAAGACCAGCCCGTTCAGTTCCAACGTGTGCTTGCACGGGCTCTACGATCCCAGTCCCTTCCTTTCCAAGCCCCTGTCCCAAGGAGCGCATTAGAAACAAAAGCACAAGAGACTACTCACAACACTTACCGATCCCTCTTGCCAGCCCATGCTCCGGAGCATTCTGTTGCCAACGTTGCTCTCGTCCAGAGCCTTGTCCACCGTGACCGCCTCGTAACTCTCTGCCGAGCCTCCCGAGCTTTGCACCGGAGCACCGCCCGCACTGGCCATTTCCTCCAGGGGATCTCCCGGCACGCTAAGCCCGTAGAGGCTTCTCCTCTCCGCCGCCCGGTCCCTGTACTGAGGCGTAGTTTCCGTAAATCTCCGCTTGGATCCCACCCTTGGCCCGCTAGTAGCTTCAGCTCTCAACACGGCCTCGCTCTCGTCCGCTCCGGATGTTTGCTCTCTCCGGACAGCCTCCTCGCCCTCCGTGGCTGCCTCGTTCATTCGCTGCTTCCAAAGGTTGAACGTGCTGTTCAGTTTCTTCTTGCCCGAGTTCTTGGACGTAAGACGGACTTCCTTGAGCTTGTCCTTGGCTGCACTTGACGCCGCGGCATCTGACATCGCCACCTTGTCGGCGGCAGCATCACTACGCACAACTGCCGGGGCCGATATGACTGCACTGGCAGCGTACTGTTTCCTGCTGCTCGCTCTATCCTTGGTTTCACTTGCAGATACGTCTTCAACGGGTTTCGGAGGCTCTGCTTCCTCAGCTGACGCTGCAGTATATGCTTGATACTGCTGAAGCTCCTGGTTGAAGGTGTACCAGACGCCATGAGTTCCATCGTAGTAAAGGTTCCTGTTGGCGTCGTAGTAGAACTTGGTTGCGGCATCATAATAGTAGCCCGAGGCTTCATCCCACACAAAGCCGGAGCTCTTGTCACCCTCTTCCAACTCTGACCTGGCGTCGTACTCCTTGGGCTCCCAGCCGCTGGCATCGTACTACAACGACCAAGTTAGTGCCGGATGAAACGCAACACACAGAGCAAGGCACCTGCTGGGCACACGATGCAGCAGCAGTCAGAAGCGGCCCACCGTGCAGGCCATAGGGACTCTTTGCAAATGCAACCCGCAGAATCTGACCATTCTTATCGATCGCGGTGCCGTTGCTGGCCTCGAGCGCTTTCACCGCGTCCTCGACCTGCCGCTGATCCATCAGAAACAGGTCAAACAGGACTGTTTGGCAACTTACCGAGTGGAAGTGTATGAATGCATAACCCCGAGAGACGTGCGTAAACTTGTCACGAATCAGCCGCAAATCCTGCAACCCAGCGGTAAGCGATGAAAAACTTAACGACTAAAGTTCACCTTGATGGGAGCATGTTTAGAAAACTCGTAGTGCAAAATCTCCTCGTCAACATTGTCGTCAAGCCCACGGACGGCAAGAACATGTGAAGGAGCTGCTCCAGCTTAGCACAGCGTTAGAAAAGAGAGAGCGTGGGTGAGCACAACTCACCTGGCTCAGGTCCCCTATACCCTGAAGTTGAAAGATCAGTGGCTTCTTCACCGCGGGCTTCGTTGCACTGTAGCGAGCCAAAAGTAAGCACTCATCTAACTCTAAGCCACGCATACGTACCTGCAGACAGACTACACGCCTAGCAAAGTTGAGGTAACCGCAGAGTGCGCAGATCCAGTCAGATGGAACGGCAACTAACGGCTTGCTAGCCTGACCGGAAAATCTGTAGTCTGGAAAAGCCCCTCCCGATGGTCTACTACTGATTCTCTTTGGTCAGTACAGACTGAAAAGAGACGACAGCCTTACCTGTATTCCAGAAAAAGCCGCCGTCCATTGACAGTTATCCCGTCAGTCCCAATAGATGCCATCAACTTTTCGGCAGCGTCCTGCAAAGTTGTTGTCCTTGATTAAGAAAACAAACACCCGGAGAGACAAGGACCACTTACCACAGACGGTAAATCGACAAAAGCAAAGCCCCGCGACACTCCTGATACCTTTTCTTTTATAACACGAACATGCCTGAGCGGACCCCATCTTTCCTGCAGCATACCGGTTTAGCATCCAAAAACCAAGGTCCAGTTGCTGCGGCAAAATACCAGTGCCCTATACAGATCATCTTCCACTGTCTTCTGGGAGAGGCCTTTGACAACAATTGTTCCCGTGGGCACCTGCTGAAGACGAGTTAGAACGACCAACGTTGTCCGAGAACGAAAGAGTTACCACGGAAGGCTGTTGCTCCTCTTGCACGGGCCTGCTCTCCTCTTGCCACGACGTGTACGGGGAGCGCGATCCATCAGGCGTGTAGACATCTGTGGTCCTATCTCTACCACCGTGTCGACCTCCTCCTCCACCGCCTCCTCTATCCTTGTCCTTTCTCCTGCCTCTCTCCCTGTCGAGATCATCATAGTCGTGCGACCGCCGACGTTCGTCACCAAAGTCCCTGCTGCTCCTATGCCTGTAGTCGGAGTCGTCGAACTTATCATGCTCCCAGCAGCTATCCTGCCTCCTGTAGGAGCTGTAGTCCCCCCTAGAGTCGTCCAGGTGGTGGCGCCTGGAATGGCGGCGATGGCGCGACTCCCCCTCACTCCCTCTGCCAACAAGAGCATGAGACATTGGAAGAGGGAAGAGATGAGAAACATACCCAGGAGGCTCTGGATCGTTCGCCTCGTCATAGCCCTGATCGTGAGCCTGTGCATCCAAAAGAATAAAAGGGGAGTCAGCACTTGGTTGCGAAATTGGACGTTGTTGTCCCAGCCTGCTTCCTGTTTAATGAGGAATCGAGGACACATTCTTCCACTGTCCGTGGGAGTGGGACACTACTAACACACAAAGCCAGTGTGAGACTGTAGGGAGGCATACGCTGCTATTATCCCATCCCGATCGACGATGATGGTGATGGTGGTGCTGGTAGTGCTGCTGCTGCTCAAAACGCCCACTCGCTTCCATGCTAGCCTGCACCCGCGGAGCTCGCCGTGCTCTAGCTCTAGGTTATCGCATCAATACAAAGCACGCCTCTCACCTCCAGCGCCTCCTCTTCGCCTGCCCTGCCCTACCCAGCCCAGCCCAGCCAGCCCTAAAATCTCTTTTCAAGAAAGGTATCTTACTAATCCACCCTTATCGATCAAAGAGGAAGGAAGATTCAATCGCATCTAGGGCTACCTGCAAATGGGGAAGACGTTCCGGAAGCGTGTGGCGTCGGACGAGGAGGATGACGAGGAGGAGCGCCGGTAAGCATCGAATCGCTGGCCATGGGCGCTGGCTCACATTTCCATCCCTCACAGGCTCGCTTTGGAGGAGGTGAAGCTTCTGCAAAAGCAGCGGGGGCGGCGGTGTGGCGTGATGGCCAATCCGGTGGCTGCGTCGCCGGGGTTGGACAGGGTCAAGAGCTCGGACAAGGTGGAAGTGGAGGGCGAGAAGGAGGAGCTTGTGCTCCAGGACACCTTCGCCCAGGAGACCGCTGTCAATGTGGAAGACCCCAACATGTAAGTCCCTCTCGCCGTGGTCTTCATGCGTAGCTAAACGCGACGCAGGCTCAAATATGTGGAGCAGGAGCTTGCAAAGAAGAGAGGGAGGCAAGAGTCTGGAGGCACAGTGGACGCGGACAAGCCTGCCGAGGACGACTTATACGTTATTCCTGACCACCTCAAGGTAACGCTTTTGCTTCTTTGGACGCACGTAACTGGACGAGTGTAGGTGCGAAAGAGGAACTCTGAAGAAAGCTCCACGCAATGGACGACCGGTATAGCGGAGGTGCAGCTCCCTCTCGAGTAAGTATGGCAAGAGTTGCTGCGTTTTGCTCCGGGCAACTCAACCTGGTCAGCTTGCAGATACAAGCTGAGGAATATAGAGGAAACCGAGGCAGCAAAGAAGCAGCTTCAAGATAAGCGCCCCCTGGTTGGCAGAACAAGGTGCGTGTTTACTCCAGTAAATACACATGTAGCTATCGGTGTGTTCCACTCCAGGCCCCAGTCCAGTATTCCTGCCAGTTACAGCGCCGATTACTTCCAACGTGGTCGTGAGTATGCGGAAAGGCTGCGGAGAGGTACTACAGTTCGTGGCTAGGCTGCACTAAAAGCTCATGCCCGCGTATGTGCGCACTTTGCAGATCATCCCGAGCTGTACAAGGACAAGGACGCTGCTGTTTCTTCTCAAGACAATACGCAAGCAACTAGTGGTCCCGATGGTGCACCCGAAGGTCGCACCAGGAGGCAGGCAGCGACGGATGAGATCATGCTGGAACGCTTTCGAAAGCGAGAAAGGAGCCGCCTCATGCGGCGGTAGCGCAAGGTAGTGGCATACCTTTCGCTATCTCTGTGTAAATTTATGTAACACTCGGATTCTTCCAGCTTGATGGAAGGGTGCGCCAGGCAAGGTTCATGTACTTGAATGCAAAACTCTGTCGTGGTTGACTTTAAACACCATGTCTCGTGATGCCATGTCGAAAACATGCCATCGTGCTGGACGACGCGGCACATGAACATTGCGGAAGTCTTCTCAGTGGGCTATAAGAGTGGCAAACTCCGCATCAGTTCCTCAAGCAAGGATCGACTTTAGGAAGCAATGGCAGCAGCAGCAGCGCAGGTGCTAGTGTCGAGCTTGGTGCTCATGATGGTTGCAGCCGCGGCTGCTACTTACAGCTATCCGGACCAGCCGACGGACTACATCCTTCTCAGCCGCCTGTACAGGAGAGGGCCGGAGCGTGCTCAGTGCATTGGCAGGAACAGGAAGTGCCGGTTGATGGTGCTCCAGTGCCCGTGGCAATGCCCCGACCGGAAGAGCACCGTCCAGGGGAAGCAGTCGTGCTTCATCGATTGCTCGCCTAAGTGCGAGGCTACGTGCAAGCGTGAGTTGTGCTTTCCTCTTATTCTCTTTGCAAATGTTTCTGCTTCTCACGGCTAGCTTTGTTTTTACAGGCCGGAAGCCCAACTGTCGAGGCTATGGCTCCGTCTGCTACGACCCCCGCTTCGTGGGAGGAGACGGAGTCATGTTCTACTTCCACGGCATGTCGGACAAGGATTTCGCCATCGTCTCGGACAGCAGCATGCAAATCAACGCGCACTTCATAGGCAAGCGCGTCCAGGGACGAAGCCGAGACTTCACCTGGGTACAAGCTCTGGGGGTCATGTTTGGCGAGGATAGCAGGAGCTTGACGGTGGGAGCCAAGAAAGTTGGCGTGTGGGACGACGAGGTGGACCAGCTGGTGTTCACGTACAAGGGCGAGCCAGTCGTGGTTCCGGCGGGAGCCAACTCGGTGTGGACTTCGGACAGTGGAGACGTGAGAGTGGAGCGAATCGCGGAGACCAACAGCGTGGAGCTTGCGGTGGAGGGGCTGCTGTCGGCTTCCATCACCGTGGTGCCCATCACGGAGAGAGACAACAAGATCCACAAGTACGAGCTCACCCGGGACGATTGCTTCGCTCACCTCGACATCCAGTTCAAGTTTTTCAACCTGTCGAGCGCTGTGGATGGAGTGCTGGGGCAGACTTATCGGCCAGAGTTTCACAACCCGGTCAAGGTGGGCGTGCCCATGCCGATCATGGGCGGGGAGGACAGGTTCCAAGTTAGCTCTTTGATCAGCGCGGATTGCAAGTCGTGCGTGTTCCAGGCCCAGGCCCAGGCCCAGGCCGCCGCTAGTAGCACCATCACCGACATGGGATTGGGAATGGAAGTGGCGACTCAATGTAGCAGCAACAGTGGCAGCGGTGGAATGATGTGCCGCAGATAAAAGAGAGCTTCTTGTTTGGTTCGAGTGTCTTTTTAACATAACGGAGCGTTTCTCCTTTCCTCTGTTTAAAATGTTTCCCGCCACTGGCCAAATCCCTAGCTAGGGTTTATGCGGCAACCATGCCGAGGAAGGGCAAGCGTCCGCCCAAGGCATCAGCGGCAGCGCAGCCAGCGAGGTTCGGCATCCAGCATTTCTTCCAGCGCCAAGCATCGCCCTCCTCGCAGCCGCAAGAGATCGCGCTTCCGGTCAAGCAGGAGCATGTCGACAATGGTCATAGGAAACGTGTCAAGCTGCCGCCTTCGGAGGTTTCGGCGTCGCCGCAGGGGTCTGATGATGGAAGCGACGAAATCGTCTGGGAAGCCTCCCCCACTGCCGAGCGATGGCAGGGCTTGAAGCTTGCTTTGCGCCCCTGTCAATCAGGAAAGAATGTGGGTATAAGCATCACCTCGCCTCGTCTCAAGGTAAAAGCTATATTCTTTGAGGGAGCGTCTAATGGAATTTCTACCAGCTGAATGATCCGAACAAGGAAAATGTACCAATCACACAGCCAACGAGCAAACAACAGCTGTTGAGAGTCCCGTCCCCAGCTCCACAATGCAAGGTACGTGGTTTCTCTTTTGTCAGCAGCCGTTTCCCGATTAGTCATATCCAGGCGCGCTCTGTTATAAAACATGGATCTAAACGGCAAGGAAAGCGCAAGGTATCACATGAAGCTTTCTTTCTCTTTCCCTTAAAGTTTCTGGTGTGTTTCTTTTAGGTGCTGCTTGATCTACTCGATCAGGTTGAGCTTGTAATTTCTGATGACAAGAAAGCTCCTGGAAGTGAGCCTTGTGTGGTCCAACCGGCAAGTCACATTCCAAAGAATGACGATGAACAGCACACTAACGTTTCTCGGATCGCGGAGGACACTAAGCCGGATATTTATTATCTAGTTCTTGAAGTAGGCTACAAGTTTGCTTGTAGACGTATTTCATTCTTTTCTTTTTCAGGTAACAGAATCCGAGTATCAAAAGGAACATGGTCCTGGTTGCTATCCTCAAAAGGTATCTGAACTTCTTTCTACGAAAAAAACTTATAAACGTCACCGTGCTGCCAGGTTTTGCGGCTGTTCGATGAGAAAAATGCGGTTGAGAAACTAGTTCACCTTCGTGATGAATGGTAGGCTTGTAAGCTGCTGCATTTTAAAGAGCTCACGTTATCGTTGTGCAGGAGTTCTAGTGTCATACGACCTGGTGATACTGTAAACATAATCGGAGACTTCGGGGCTGACAACAAGTGCATAGTTGACCACAAAGCTAATTTGCTTGTACTTCACCCAGATGTGCTTGTTTCTGGATCACGGGTATGTTTTTTCTTTTTTATCTTTCTACGTGGATGTTTTTCTTTTATGCGTATATTCAGGTAGGATCAAGTTTCAGTTGTTCCAGAAGAGCTGTCTTGAACGAGAGGCTCAAGTCGTTCGATAGTTCTATGGCTGCATTGCTAGGGACAATGCTTCATCGTCTCTTTCAGGTGTAACAGTGTTGATTTTGTGATCTCATTTTCATCCTGTTCTTCTGTTTGGCAGAAAGCGTTAACTGCTGAAAAACCATCGCATGACGATTTGCAAGTTCAAGCCAAAAGGATTGTTTTGGATCATATAGATGGTTTGTATGCTCTAGCAGGTAAAATTCTGGTTATATTTTATTTTTGGAGGTTTCTATTCATCAATTGTGCAGGGAATGAAAAGGAAGCGCTCATCAAGCTTGTTGACGCCATTCCTCCACTATTGGACTGGTTGCAAACCTACAGAAACCCCAAGGTAACCTGAGTCCAGCTGTGCTTTGACTCATCTTCCCTTCAGGAATCATCTGAAGCTAATATTGACTTTGGTATGGGGACTGGTGAACGCCGTGTCGCCATTACAGAGGTACTGCACCAAAACTTTAAGATGTATGAATCACGCTTTCACTCTTTTCAGGTTGTAGATATTGAGGAGATGATCTTGTCGCCGAAGTACGGGCTCAAAGGAATGATCGATGCATCGGTAAGAGTCGACGAGGAACACATGCCCCTTGAGTTCAAAACGGGGAGAGCAACAACTGGTCAGGTTAATATAAACACTAGAATTCGGCTTTGAAGCGTAAAGCTTGAACAATTTTGACAGGCTGGAGTAGAGCATCGTGCCCAGGTTATTTTATACACGCTTTTGATGTCCGACAGGTGCGTTGCTTTTCTTTAAAAATACTCTTTTATAGTTTCTTGCAGGTATTCCCAAGACGTGAATCAAGGAATGCTGTATTACCTGCATACCAAACAGACTCTGGTATTTCGAGGATTCATGTAGTGTCTAATCTGATCAAGTTCAAAGCAGGGCATTCAGGCTCAACGTGCGGACGTTACAGGTCTTTTGATGCGGCGGAACGAGCATGCATCTCATCTGCTTCGTGCTTTGTCAACTCAGGCTTTACCGCCAATGTTGCAGGTTAGATGTTTCTTTCTTCCACCAAAAAGTAACCGATTCTATGCAGAGCTCGCACATGTGCCGTGGATGCCCGCTCCTTGACGTGTGCACTATGTACCATAAGGTGTGTGCTCACAAATGTCGATGTTTTCGAGACCCTGACAATGAGCTTCAGTTGCAAGACGGTGGAACGGGAGAGTCCAGTGGGCTCGGGGAAGTTTTTGATGCATTCACTGCCCACCTAAATCACAAGCATGGGAAATTTCTTCAGCATTGGGAACATTTGATTGATTTGGAAGCTCAATTGCATTTTGTAAGTACGTTATGGCGTTTTCTTTGGTCTCAATTCTGCTTGTTATCTCAGTCCTCTCAAAGCGAAATATGGAGAACTTACGGTGGTCAGCGGGAAGAACGTAATCGATGTCTTTCGTCAATGGTCATAACATCCTTCAATGATGACAAGGAAAGGCCTGGAAGCGTTATTTATCGTTTTCAAAAGGCAGCATCATCGAGTAATCTACAAAAGGGTAACCAGGAACAAATATTCACATTAGGAGATTACGTGGTATGTGCTTTGGTTGTTCTTTTTCCCTTTATGATGTTTTCCGCAGTTGTTGAGCACGGAAAGTGGTTTTTTCGCACTTGCCGGAGGTATTGTCAGAAGTGTCAACCCTGACTGCGTTATGGTAACGCTTGCTTGTCTTCTCTGATTATGACTTACATTGTTTCCAGGTCTCCGTATCTCGTGCGCTAAGGTTGCCTGGAACTACCAAGGCAAACAGAATATTTCATGAAGTGTGGCGACTAGATAGGGATGATAGTAGTTCCTCTTTTGCTGTTATGAGGTAAGCCATCTGGAAAATTTTGTTGCTCTAACTTGTCCTTCGAAGATATAATGTGTTACAACTTTTTGTGAGAGATGGGGCTAGGCGTTCCCGCGAACTTATTGTCGATCTTGAGGTAAGCATTTACGATTTTAGATGTTCTGTGTGGATGTTCTCGACCAGGCACCGGTGTTCGACAATTTTTTAAGAGTTAGCCAAGACCCTGCTTCAACTTATGTTAATACACTAACAAATCTGAACAAAGACCAGCGCAGTGCTATCGGGAAGGTAAGCTTGGTTTTATATGTTCACCCCAAGTGTACTCACGGGAATGTTTCGTGCAGATAATCTCAGCCAGAGACTACTGTCTAATACTGGGAATGCCTGGCACAGGAAAGACCTCAACAATCGTCTATGCGGTACGGGCTCTGCTCTTAAGAGGCTTGTCTATTTTGTTGGCGTCGTACACGAACTCTGCTATTGACAACATACTTTTGAAACTGAAGTCCCAGGTGTGATGAATATTGTCGTTCTTCTCAAGCACGTGGTGTTGCAGGGCGTAGACTTCGTTCGTGTGGGTAGGCCAGAAACGATTCATCCCGAGCTTGTTCAACATGCCATAGGGACAAACGTGACATCTGTCGACGAGCTGAGTTTGAAAATAAGTCAAGCTCGAGTAGTTGGAGCGACTTGCCTTGGCATAACGCACGCTTTATTTTCCAGACGGAAGTTCGACGTCTGCATCGTTGACGAGGCTGGACAGATTACTTTACCTGTGAGTGTTTGTGACAGTGTACTATCACTGAAGCTGCTGTATCCAGGTTTGTTTAGGACCGCTGCGGTATGCACGAGCCTTCGTTCTTGTTGGTGATCATTATCAGCTCCCTCCTCTTGTTCAGGTGCTAAATTAGTCTTTTGCTGTAGTGACATCACACATGCATTGCAGAGTGCGGAGGCTAGAGAAAAGGGAATGGCTATCAGCCTCTTTCGCAAGCTTTCCGAAGCGCACCCATTTGCTGTTGCGGCTCTTGAATTCCAGGTAAATTTTCTGCTGTTAGCTGGATATTAGTTGCGTGTTGTGCAGTATCGTATGTGCTCAGCCATAATGAACCTTTCGAATGTTTTAATTTATGGCAATCGTTTGAGATGTGGATCAACCGAAGTCGCCAACGCTCGGCTTTATGTAGATATTTCAAAGGGATTACCTCCATGGACTCAACAGGTAAATGAGTCTGGTACTCCTAAGACACGATTTTACTAAAGTATGCTCTGCAGGTTTTAGATTGCGCGCTAAGTGTACTTTTCCTGGACGTAGGTAATGTTTCACTTTGATTAGTTTTGTCGGGTTACAGATTTCGGATAAATGCAGACAATATTAGCTCACAAGATAGGCATCATGGTCACGCAAAGCACAACTCTGTCGAGTGTTCTGTATTGATTGATGTGAGTATCGGTTTCCTCATTCTTTTCTGAGACCCAGAGTTCGCTCCCAGATACTCCATAATTTAAAGAAAGGTGGTGTGGATACACGCTCCGTGGGGGTGATCAGCCCTTACAAAGGCCAGGTAGATTACATCAGGCAACGGATAAGTGACAATGGTGCAGGCCTCGCGGACGTCGAAGTCCATACTATCGACAAATACCAGGTTGGTTTCCTATGTTCCATGAAACGTAACATCTGTTTGTCAGGGAAAAGACAAGGATTGCATTCTAGTATCGTTTGCGCTATCCGAAGATCATCGAGTTTTAGGATCCCTTCTAACAGACTGGCATCGAATCAATGTTGCAATAACCAGAGCCAAGGTAAAGCGGCACTTACATCTATCCACTCAGCTGATGTTCAACTGCAGAAAAAGCTTATCATGATTGGCTCCATGAAGGCACTTTCGTCAATTCCATTGCTTGGGCTTCTTATTCAGCAGGTGAGATTCGTTAAGAGCTCGAGACGGATGCTTTAAGTATGTTCCTTTCAGGTGCAGGACCAAGGCGGCCTAGTTAGGCTTCCTGAAGATCCATACAAGGTTGTAATTTAGCAGCAGGATGAGGCAAAGGAGTAATCATACCTATTATCCTAGACTGAAGAAAACGATCACGAGCCAGAAGATATCGGCCACCATGTCTCCAGTGCAGTATGCCATCTCAAGAATCAAGTGATGATGAATGTCAAAGGTGAGCTGGTTGTCACGCCACAGCCTCATTGGAACTTGCTGAGGGAGGCCAATCTCTACAAGTAATGCTCTGAGCCAAACGGTCGTTCTTTGGCTGCATGAGAGGCAGCCAAATACTCCCTTTAGAGACTCATATGGAAATTAGGCTCATAAAAGATAGAAATCTAGACTTCTTAGATTATGCTACACTTCCTCTTGAGGTTCTTTACCACCCAACCACCTCAAACTACCTCAAAAGTTCCATTGCACCACAGTGTGAACCCTAGGATAAATTAAGTCTTTTACCCTAACATGCTTTAATATCTTGTCCCGTACCATGGAATCCAACTTTTTGGAATAAAATTGGAAGTGAGTATCCTTGCCCAATCAGCGTCACTAAAGCTAAGTTGCCCACCCTGGTACCACAAGTAGGCGATATAACAAGCTCCCGATTGACTGGATGAGTTTGATAGAGAATGTTAATTCCTTGTGCACAGTCACCAATCAGCTCCATCATGCCAAGAAAATATCTCAGAAGTGCCTTCATCTCGAACTGGGTCGACAGGTTCTTCTTCACATGAGCAAACATGGCAGTGACCAGATTGTCATCGACATAGAGGCCAAGGATGGTGAAATCCGGTGGGCAGAACTGGATGTAAAGATTGCTGCGACTCTCTTTTCCTAGTTTAGCAAATCCATCTGGCTGCTGCATGTAAATTTCCTCCTTCAATTCTCCATAGAGATAAGCAGTAGTGACATGTAACTGCTCTATGTCCTAGTCACCCGCACCAGCAAACTTGAGAAGGCATGAAGAATCCATGAAAGTCAGTTCCAAGGACTTGTGAGCAGCCTTATGCATGCCTTGGAATGCAAGAAACAAACACGTGCCATTCTTCCTCTGCGAATGCGAATGCATCTCATCCTCCATTGCAGCAAGCTAGAATTTAGCTCCTGGAGAATCCATGGCTTGAGCATAAGAGCAGGGCACCATCAGAAGTTTCTAATAGTGGAGGCGATTGTCTGGCATGGACTGTCAAATCTGGAGGAACGAGATCCAGGGGACATTCACCACTGGTGTCACTGAGATGGAGATTGAGCCCACTCAAAGCTCCTCAGGAGGATATCTCAAAGATGAAGAAGCTCCCACAGTTTCTGGAGGAGTTAGGCTGTGAGACAAGCTTGTTAAAGGTCACCTGCTGATAATCACTATGTGTGTAGCAGGATTCCGGAGATGCCAGGCAGCATGAATTTGGAGACGCCAAGCAGCCTGTAACCCAAGAATTTACACTCAACGCTCTTAGCATCAAGCTTTCTTCATGTGGCCCAAGCTTCACAGCCAAAGATGCGCAAGTGTGAAACCAAGGGCTTCCATCCAATGTCCGTCCACAGGGTAACAAATTTTGGACGTAGTTAGCTAGCTGAATAGCGTCAACTGGGCCACTAACCTGTAGCATCGCTCGTGTACTTTCCACCAGAGTGTGATTCTTCCTCTCAACACAACCGTTTTGCTGGGGAGAATAAGCAGCTGTGAATTCTTCAGCCTCTTGGCAAACTCGATTGAATTCACCTTACCACCTCCGTCACACCTGAGTAGTTTCAAGTGCTGCCCTCTTTCCTACAGCTTTGAACCTGAGAAATGTTGTAACACTTCAGATTTGAGGTGTAGAAGATACACCACCGTGCAACTAAAAAACTAGAACTGCCACAACTCCAGCTTGTGCTGGTCATGGATGCCTCAAGCATGAAAACTCACATCTTCATATAGGATCACCTTATGCTCTTGGTCTGCTAGTCCAATGTCAAGGTTGTACAGTCAATAACTTGAACGATGAGCAATAAGAGCCTCTCCATCAAGAGGTGAGCAAGAGAGGAATTTTCGTGGGGAGCTCAATCCACCAACTTAGAGCATGGTCATGGAACATCTAGCACATCCCAATCCCCTCAAGCATCATGTGAATTAGAAGTGTTGAGATCCTTGTTCACTTTTTCAATGCATTTTAATTTTTTCCGGTGGACTAGGATATTCAAAGTGTGCCACAGGATCTAGCGCATTTTAATCTGCTCCACGAAAGCAGCCACACTCCATCCGAGGTTGCATCGCCTGTTAAGGTAAGGAGTCCTGTAGCCTAACGTTTCCCTGCCAGGAAGATCATCCTGGCCGAGAATCTTCTAAGCTGCGAGACGGGGAGCCCCAAGATCCTGGCCTTCACAAAAGCCCCTCGTTGAGCATCCACCACTGTCTCGACACCGAGTTGGACATCTTGCCTTCTTCCAAAAAACCACACCAGGTACATACATTGTCAATCAATTCTGTAGAGTGTTCTTCCTTGGAACCGTGACACAAGACTCCTGAGAGATGCCCCTGAGAGCGTGGACGACTACTACCTCATACTGGACTGGAGTTGCAACAACACAGTCGCCGTCGCTCTGGGGCCTGGCGTCTACCTGTGGGACGCCGACACTGGCTAGAGCTTCCAACTTAGCAAATGCGAGGAGCATGACACGGTGACAAGCATTGCACAGTGGGACTGAGCAGCGCACGCATCCATGCCACCAGCAGTAGCCAGGTTTGTGATCTCAACTTCCTCGTGCAAGCTCTTCTTTCTTGGAACATGTAGATTCGAACCTTTAGCAGTCACTCATCACGTGTCACGTCTCTGACTTGAAATGGATCATCCAAAAGCTGCGACCACAAGATCATAAACCACGACGGTAAAACCTTGGCTTGCTTCCGATGATGGAACGATTAGCTTTGCAAGGCGTCAGTTCTCACGGGACACTGTCAAGAGGCGTGCGGCTTGAAGTGGTCACCATGTGCAGCGGCAGCAACGATAATCTACTCCATATCTGGTGTGAGAGATAGAGATGATGTGGCATTTAATTCAATAAAAAAAATTATCACACAATTATTATTTCTATTATTATTCAATAACACCATACTCATACTTGTATGGTGGAGATTTGTAATAGTTGGTGGTGGAGGTGACTCGTATTTGTACTCCTAAAAGGGACATTGAAGATAAGAGAGAGGTAAATAAGCTATTTGAAGATATTTGACATTATCCAGTAGTGTCCTAGTATGTTTTTTACATTTATTATGGCACATTAATATATGACCATATTTTATTATAATAAATAAAGAAGTAAAAATATAGATAATTAAACATTATTTAATTACTCAAGGGTTTGCTATAGAACACCACTCAACACCAAGGTGTTCCAAATGGTGATTGCAATTTATATCTTAGAAGGCAAATGACTCACAAGATGCTTCAATCTCATAAACCACATAGTACCATTAAGAATATAAAAAGTAAGTTATTGTGGTCAATGGGCATGCACATGCCCTTTAATAGGGAAGATTTCGTATAGTAATTTTTTGAATGTAATTAGGATGATTAAGTGTTTAGTAGTAGTAGAAGTGGGAACTTAATAAGTTATGGCTAAAACCACATATTAGTGACAAAATTGAAGTTATAATAATAAGCAAAAATGTGTGTAAGAAAGGATTAAGGATTTAAAAGATGAGAGGAAAGGGAAAGGTATGAGAAGGGCCACATTAGTTACATACACACACAATAGGTTAAACTATTTTTCATATCTTTGCATAGGGTATTCTTTTTGTAAAATGTTTGGTTAAACAAGGCAAGGACATGACAAAGAAAAGAAGATCCAAAAGTTTAAAAATACTAGACTAAAACGAAATAAAATAAGTTGGAATGCAAAAACAATTATTATATAATATTAATTTTATTACATCTATATACAATTGATGTATAGAAAGTTCTTCTTCATAGTCTGCATATTTCTTCATTACTTTTATGGTATTAGAAAATTGACTCCTTGATTTTGGGTGTGAATAATAATAAAAAAAATAAAGGCACAATAATTAATTACTAGTAAGAGAGAGAAAAATTGAAAATTTATTTTTTACTATTACTTTTAGTACTCTTAGACACTTAATCATCTTTCTTAATTACATAAAAAAATTATTATACAAAATCTTAATATAATTCTTAATGTAAATTGTTGAAATTGCTTATTGTTACTTGTTGTCAGTGCTTTCTGAATAGCTTAAAACCTAATGTGCTTCATAGTTACTAACTTATTTTTCATCAAAATAAAAGTTTATTTAAATACCACCCAAATTTAACAACAATACATGTTTAACATTAATTAAGACTTTTTGAACTATTTAGAATCTTTAAAAATTCTAGAATCAAAGAATAATAATGATAGAAAAAATATTTTTTATCCTTTGCAAAGAAAAATGAGACAAAAGTATCTTTGATGTGTTTTAGTTGGATACAACATAATCAACTTGGAAATGTATCAAAAACAAACATTTAATAATGATATTACCGAAGGGAGCAAAGTTTTATCTCAAGTTTTTGAAAATTTTAAACCTTCTTTAGTTTTAATTAATTTTTTAGATTTAGAGGCATTTTTAGAAGTGATGAAATTAGTAGAAGTCTTTTAAATTTAAAAATATCATTTAAATTTCTGAATTACAAAATCAAATATCTAACTAATAAAAATTTATTATGTACTGTGAAGGCCAAGTGTACGGCTACGATGCCGTATACTAATATTAGCGTAGTGAGATTTTGGTAGCCGTTGAATTGGTTTCAATCCGGACCACTTGCTCCTGTATATAAGCTAGGGTTTTTGGGCTAATTGATATGCACATTTCTGTATCTTTCCATATTCCATGCACTCACATTGGTGGAGATGAGGGGCACCTTTGATTGTCCCTGAGGAGTGCTTAGATTTGGGATTTCAGTTTAGATCTAACTTTTGCATTATCTAGATCTAGCTTTATCCATTTCCTTTCTTTTGTTCTTTTCTTTCAGAATTTTGGTTTAGATTTAGCTTTTTGCATTTTCTAGATCTACCATTTCCTTCATTTCTCTTCTTTTGCTCTTTCTTTTTCATTCGTCTCTATGGCAGATCAGTAATCTCCTCCTTTGACTCTGGAGTAGCAGTTGGTACAATTGCTTGATGTTATGCGCTTGCAATTGAACAACCAAACTCAGTTGATGGCGGCGTTCACGGCACATGGTACAACTCCTCCTGCTCTTGGTGCCAATCCTCACGTTCGGCCGGAGTTCTTTCGCGGGAATCCTAGGGATGATGTGTACCATTGGTTTGATCACTTTACGGTGATTGCCACATATCATTCTTGGGATGATGCTCGACGTTTGTGT